GAAGTTATCTCATACTTATTTAACTACAATCTTGAGTGATAATTGGAACAAGAGACAAAAAGAATTTTTTTTACGTACAATCAATGATTTCACTACATGTCTTTATATATGAAATCCAAGTTTTTTATATTACTAAAATAAAAAAAATCAGATATTATGTATATGCTTTAAATTAATTAAAAAGTTTTATAAAAATATCTTAATTTAAATTATATAAAAATTAATTAAAATTAACTTTATTATTATTATTATTCTATATATTATAGAAGTCAATTTAAACTAATTTTAATAATATAATGTAGAAATTGATTATAATATACTTTAACTATAAAAGTATTTAATTAATATATTTTAAAAAAATTAGACGTTGATTATAATCTACTTTAACTATAAAAAATATTTAATTAATATATTTAAACAAATTCAGACGTTGATTATAATCTACTTTAACTATAAAAAATATTTAATATATTTAAAAAAATTCGGACGGTCATGTGTTGCTAGAGTTTTAGTAGCAAAAAAAATTAAAATCACCTGTAGTAGACTGTAGACTGTAGTACGGGCCACTTGCTTTTCACGTAAACTTAATATTACATATCAAATTTATTTATTGTATAATTTGTTTTTTTAGTTAGTGTTTGTAGCATTTTCTATTTTTATTCCCTAATTAAAGAGTATTCTGCTGTCCATTATCAAACTTTAATACATGTAAAAAGTAGTTCTCAATACATAAAATAATAATAAATAATATGTTGTGGTAAAAAGTTAATATATAAAAGAAAAAAATTTGTGCAATTATAGAAATATAATTATTGTAACTTATATATATTTGTTATTAGCCACGTATATTTTATAACATATGTCTTCTACTTTTTTATATTAAATAGCATCAATTTTCAATTCATTATTTAATTATTAATGAAAAATTATTTTATTTTTTAAATATACTTAATTGTTATTTAATATCGTGAACTAACATTAAAATAATAATATATTTATTAATTATTATTAAAGTACTTTTTATTAAATTATTATTGTATTAGTTACTTGTCGAGTAGGTAGAATTTTAAAGACCCTCTTTCTTTTATGTTAGTAAGTTCCGGTGTAATACAAGTTATTTTTATTTATTTTGAATAAATAATATAAAAAATTAAAAGTATATTTAAAATACAAAATTAATTGAAAATAATATGTCTGACTTTTTATTCTTTTATTCTCTTTTATATTTCAAAATCATACATTTATTATTAGATTATTTTATTTTATTTTTATCGAGACCTAATCCCTCATTAGAGTATTGTTTCAGTATGTGCAAGCGGTCCATACTAAGTCTATTGTGGATGATCTGAATTTTCTACTACTAAAACTCTAGCAATGACCGTCAGATTTTTTTAAAATATATTAATTAAATATTTTTATAATTAAAGTCAGTTATAATTAAATTTTTTAACTTAATTTTTTTATAACTAAAATTAATTATAATTAATTTTTACTTTATATTATTAAAATCAGTTTAAATCGATTTTTATAATACGTAGAATAATAACAACAATGAAGTCAATTTTAATTCAACATTTATATAACTCAACTTAAGATATTTTTTATAAATTTTTTAATTTGAAGCAAATACGTAATATCTAATTCTTTTTATTTTATTAATGTGAAAAACTCATAAAATTCTTTCATTCTACTCCATCCAAATATAACTTACTTAAATAGAATCCTATAAATTCACTCCTATCAAATTGTTTTGTTGTAAATAATTACTAGAATAGAAAAAAAAAGAAAGAAAATAAATATTAAGACTTCTTTTTATGCTATAGGTTTATACAAAATAAACTTAATAATTTTAGTCATTTTTATCATGAAAGACACAAACTAAAAGATTACTAACAATGCCTGAAAACTTTTATGTGAAAAAGAGGAAAATAATTTGATGCTTCAAAAATCATGATCCATTAATGAATATCAACACCACAATTAGTAAGAACTAGGTAAAAAAGGTGAAAAACATGACTTCTCTTTCATCCTTACTTAACTTCATCTTGGACCTAAGGCTCTCTTATGGCATGGAATTAAGAAAAAGGGATTCAAATGAATGGTGGTATTGAAAGTTTGACATCCTTACAATCATGGTAGATTAGAGCTTATTAAAGAGTTAAAAAAAATGAAACAGTTAAAGTTATTGTAGTTGAATCTTCTTAGAAGAAAATATGGAAGTGTTATTTGTGTTTCAGTAAATGATAGACATAACTTGATGACTCCATTAGAAAAATGTATCCATTGCTTACTTTGGTAGATGAGGAAACACTAAGTTCAATTTCACTTATTTGACCTATTTAATTTTAACTTAGATGTGCCACCTATACGAAAAGGTGTCGGAGGAGGGACTATAGAGTTATTTATATACCATGAATCTGAATTTGTCTTTCTTGCTTATATAAGTGATTACCCTTAAAAAAATAGTACAACCTAATTTGCTAATTCTTAAAATTAATGTTTTAACAAAAAAGTTAATGTGCATTGCAATGCAATAGTATAAGACTTCCACCTATCTATTTTATAAAAACTTCTAGAATTGTTTGTGGCCCTTTACAAAAACTTCAAAGCATTTACCATTTTTCACATTTTTTTTTCATTAATTAAATGTTTCTAATTATCTAGAAAAAAAAACTTGAAATATTATAATTATCTTTTAAAAAAAATCAATGTATTAACTACTTTTAACAACTTTTTAAATGTGTAATTTAGTTAAAAAATTCTTATTAAAAAAAATACTGGAAGCTGTGTAAAATTAATACAAATCATGATTTTTCAAAATAGAAAGCATATCTTTTTGAGAAAAATACAAATAAAAAAGAAGCATGAAGTTGTAATTATTGTAAATCTCTTACTAATGAATTTTTATAAAGATAAAGTGAACAATTAGTGGACTATGGAGTAGAATCAAAATTTTGAAGAATAAATATCAGCATAAATATTTAACTGAAATATTGTTTACAATTTGGGACAATTACAATTAGAGTCAAATTTTACATAAGAGAGAGGAAAAATGAACGGGTCAGAGCTAAATATGCCAACTTTCAAGTTTCTTTCATAATACTCTCCACCACATTTAGATTTTACTATAATGATGAATTTTTTTTCTTTTTTTTTCAATCTCAATTTTAAAATTTTAAATTTCTAATACACATTAAACTTTAAACTTTGATGGATTTCATGTTAAGGAAGAAAGTGAAGAGGAAGGGAGGGATTAGTAATCACTAACCCTTATTTAGAAGTTAATTAGAGAATTTTTCTAAATCTTCCCAACTCTTTTAACCTTTTTTTTTTTTTTAAATTCTCTAGAGGGTTTTAGTGACTCATTTAATAAGCTTTATCATTTATATTTCTATTTGTTAAATAAAATATTTAATGCGATCTAGAGTTAGAATAGCAAGAAAATAAAAAATGATTTTTTTTCAAAAAAGTTAGTTTTTAGAGTAAATATTTTTAAAAATTATAAAAAATAGAAATAAAAGTTTTAAAAATATTAATTTTTAAATAGAGAAAAATATTTATTTTTTTATTTTTTGAAAAATAAAAAAATATATAAATGAAAAATATAAAAAAGTGATAATACAATTTATCTGTTAAACTCTTTCATTATTTTTTAATATTAAACATCTAAATAAAGAAAAAGTTTAATATCTTTTCCTCCTTACCTCCTTAAAATTTTTTCTTTCTTTCCAAATTTCAAAATAAAGCTTTAATTAAATATAATTATGCAAGGGTAGTCTTAGTAAATTTCATTCTAATACAATGCACATAAGTGCTTAAATTATTAAAATTTAAGAAAGATAAAAGCTCGTTTCTAAATAATCTTTCGAACTTCTTCCTTATAAATATGATCCAAATATTTATGTCACAATTAAAAAAAAATTTCTGTCAGTTTTTGACCTTATAACAATAAAATTATCAATTTTCAAAGATGACAAAATGTTATCAAAATTTAAAGATAATTTAAATAAACTATCCATTAAAATAAACGACAACTTGAGAGTTAAACATATGATTTATTTATTTATTTTTATCATCAAATGAAAAATGAAAACAAGTCTATCCAAACAAGATCGATATTAAAATCAAATTTCTTCTAAACAGGGATACTTAAAATATTTGCAATTAAAAGATGTATTTGTTACAATTTGTGAAAAACTATTATACTAGTATATCAAATTTTAATTTAACTTATCATATTAATTAAGTTTAATTTAATATATTTTAAATTTGTTATTTTAAAATCATTTTGTACATGTGCATATTCTAAATATAATTGTCATATTTTGTTTTTGTTTACCATGAAAATACTACGATTTGAGATTTTTTTTACGGCGTGTATTGGATTGTTAATTGCATCGTCACAACATATTTAATTATACTTTTTCAAATATTTTACCAATTGAGTAAATAATAACAATAATTTCATTCATCTTCAATATTTCAAAAAATTATAATTTACAACATGACTAATATCAAAAGTAATTTTTTGTAGTCAATAAAAAAATCAAGTGAAAATCAAAATAATTATGCAAAAAAAAAAATTGTGTAATATTCAGAAAAAAGAAAATCATAACATAGTTATGATTGAAATTCAAAACTAAACAAAATAAAAAATAATCACACAAATTCCTTAGAAGTACCCACAACAAAATTTGAAACAATCTTAGTATGTTTTATTTCTGGGCCTGGCAATGGCATTTATAACGAAATGTTATACTTAGAAGTGTTAGGCAAACACCAGAGTCATCATAACATGAAGATGTTCTTTTCTCCCTCTCAACCTTTTACTTTTCATTTTTCCATGAAACTTAGTATTGTCTAAATAAGTAAAGAATAAACAATTATAATAATCGGAATGTTAGCAGTACAGATATTAAAATATTAAATTAGAAGTGAAAAAAAAGTAAGATTAATACAAAAAAAAAAAAAGCATTTGGAAGGTTCTAATTTAACTTTATACTTGTAATTATCTTTTATTTGATAATAGTCATTTTGCTAAATTTATAATACAGTGAAGTATAGAAATACATGTTTTTAAGGTTAGAATATTATATGAATAAAAAAAATACAATTCATTCCACTCCGTTTACTATCTAAATAATTAAAATAAATTTTTTTATTCCATCCTAATACATCCAAACAATTTAATGGAATCTTTACTCCATCACGTTTTATTCCGGTCCATTCTATTTTAATCAATTCCATTTCTTACTCCATCTTCTATCAATCCAAAACATGACATTTGTGATATTAAAAGAAGTGACCGTTAAGAGGTAAATGTAATTGACCAAACCTTTCCTGTTTTTCACTGAGGCTATTTACTTCAAACGTCAAAAGTTCCCCATTCTTGTGCTAAATCGCAAAATATTCTATTCACGTCCCAGTCTAATGTAGCTGATTAAATCTTGGCTAATATCAGTTAGCCTCTATTGGCGAATGGAACTTGGACAATGTCCAAACGATCACCAAAATAATTGGAGCTATTATGGACGAAAAATTCTGATAGCCTTTGTAACCTGAAGCCGACAAAAAGGGCATCTTGATACTGCAGAAGAACATCTGCGACACAATACATGACCACAAGGAACTATTGTTATATCAACCTCAGCACTAAGACAAACCCGACAAATCCATGCTGCTTTTGCTGTATCAGCCTCTTTTGTTGCCTTCTCAACCTTTTCCTATACAATGCATTATATCATGTCATTTAAAACTTATCATATACGCTACCAGATATATGCATTACAAAGCATCAAGCAAACTACAATCACTTTTTTCTAATCTATAATAAAACCATCTCCAAAGCCTTAAAAAACTTTTAAGCAATATAGATGCAATTTTCTTCAATTGATTGTTAGAAGTGGCATGCTTCCTTATAATATCTGACTCAATCCATACATCAGTAGGCAATGATATCCAAATCCCCAATTAGAAACCTACTTAAAAGATAGTTGAGTCTGCAATGCAAAAAAATCTTCAAACTTTTCATGTTTGATATGTGATAACTAACAGGTTTGTATCTGTCATACTCATACTCAACAAAACTAGAAACAGGTTTCAAATAAGTGGAAAATAAAGAATGCCCTCCTATTCAGACAGAAAATATTAATTACAGGGTGGAAAAGAAATGGAAGAGGTGTGTGAAACTTATTGTTCAAGGAAATATCAATTGATTTAATACCAGGAATTGAAACATCAAAAACATTCATATTGATAATAGATTATATGATAAAGAAACAGAAAAATTTCAAGATTATCATGTGTCCCCGTTCATAACAGCATACAATTGCACAGAAATTGCAGTACTAAAATTAAAACCACCAACCTGCTCCAACAGAAGCGCTGCCTGAGATTCTTTGAGATTTTCTTGCAAATTTATTGTTCTTTGAAGTAGAGCCTGCTTCTCGACATCCATTTTGATCCCAGCAGCAGAGAGTATTTCATTAACAGCCTGCACCAGTTCTGCAGCTGATACTTTGTCAGACTGCTCTCTAACAGGCTGCATCTGTGCACACAAAGATATCTCATTTAGATTAAGCACAATGAGACATACAAGCAATACAAAAAATGTCACAACATGAATAAATATGTTTTGGGGGCTAATGAGATATGCAACAATTACAGGAAGATAAAAGGATTATGGCCCTGTTTGAACAAACTCCATATCGAAAGAAAATAGTGAGATAAAATGAATCAAACTTCTCCCATTAGTTAAAATCAAGTTATGCAGTTTAGCTTCAGTAGAAGTTAGTTGAGAAAGCTTCTATAGAAGTAAAGTGCATAAGTTTATTTCAAATTTTAGAAAAGTTTGATTCATTTTACCTTTTTTTTTTTTTTTTACTCCCAAGAGTACTTGATGAAAATTTTATCCAAACTGATCTTATCTGCTTGATTCAATGACCTTTGCCCCAAACTAAGCAAGAAAATATTCTTAATTGCATGCTTCATGTTTCTTCCCAACCGTAACAACTAAAAGATATCTCTCTCATGTGTGCTGACACACTGTTCATGTGCGTTATTGGAAAGCAAAGGATGGATCATGAATTACAATTCCCATAATGAATGCAAATATACAGAAACAAAAAATTCTAATTAGTAACAAGTTTCAAGGGCTGAACCTGAGAGTAGCTCTCTCCCCTTCCTGAACTCTCTGGGACATCAACTCGGGGCCTGTTACTGTCTAATACAGGGCTATCATGCACCAATGTTTCTTTCAGGGGACTGCTTGCTGATACACTTTTAAATGAAAATACTTGTGATGAAAGCAAAGCATGAATAACCCCTGTCCCAACTTCAATTTTAAGTCTGTACAGAGCTTGACCTGCGGATGGTCTTACATCTTCAGAAACGTTACCATATTTCAATTTTTCACCATGTTGAGACCGCCATGCCACTATTTCACCAGAATAAAAGGGTCTCAATGGATGGAACTGAACAAGACGGGCATCTTGTGCCAATATTTCCCTGCCAACCATATTGCTGCTGCCATTTATGGGTTCAACTTCTTTCTTATCAGAGCAAAGTTTTAAAACATTAAGAACTGAAATCTCTGATCCTTCAGGACAACCAAGTAAGGATCCAAAAGGCAATATGACAGGAGAGCTTAATACCTGGCTGACTATAATAGAAATGAGATCAAAAAGGGAAATATAAGTTGGTGGTTCAGCAACTAGAATACAGGTTCTTGATTGATTCATAAAATAAAGTGCTTGATGTCCAGATTCATTCTTCAACTCTGGGATGGTGAAATCTTTGCCTGTCCTAGTAACATCTACTAAATTGGGCAAAAGCATAAATTTTGTCTTAAGACTCTTAACAAATTGCAGTTTTTCTGCAGTAGAGATCAATAAGCGTTCTAGCTCCTCCAATGAAAAGCTATTGAATGCAGAAACATGACTGCCCATGCTATTAACAATAGTCCATACAGCAATTTGAAGAGATTTGCTTGATAACTTCTGTTTGATGGTCTCCAGAGAAATAGACCCTAGAGATCCCAAAGTCTCTAATGTGTGATTGTCATCTAGTTCCTAAACATCCAAAACAGAAACATTGCAGTAAGTAAAAGCCATTTGCAGACAAAACCTATATAACATTAAATAGGAAAATGTATCTTAAATCTAGGTACCTCTATGATGATGTCGGACAACTTTTTTATGCCTAGCACAATACAGACTCTCTCAGGAAGATCTGCATGGACAAATCTAATTCTTGAAGTATTGATACATTTTACATATCGAGAACCATAAGAATCAACATAGACACAGGATGCCGAATGAACAAGTCTGCAGCCATCATCAGGAACTATGGCTTCTGATTTCCAGTTTGACCCATCAGATGTGTTCCCCTCAAAAATCTGATCACAAATGAAATTTAAAATTTCCATCACAGCTCGTAGTTCATTGGGATTTAGACGCTGATATCCACAAGCTTTTTGAAGATTTAATAGAAGATCACTTGCAGCAGAAAGTGTTAGCATGTCCTGAAGTCCCAAATGTTTAAGAATCTTTACAAATGGGAGATATACAGCAGGAAGTTCAAAAGCAAATGGAGACAAATTAATCATCAAACGAGCAAAAAGAGCATCAGCAGTCACAAGCCGCGTTCCATTTGCAACAGGAAGAAAAGCCACTTCACGAAGCGATGCCACATCTGGAAATGCAAAAGTGATTAAAAATTCATCAATATAATGCATATACCATCTTTATGCTTTTTTTAATACATGATACATCATTAGATCAACAACCTAAGCAAAAGTGCTTAATCAATTCAACAGAGCATGAGAGGAAATTCAAAGACAAATGATGCCAAGGTGGTCAGGTCTGGTAATTATAGAAAGTGAAAGGAAAACATACAATGGTGGTTGAAAAAATATCCCACTGAAAAGGGAAAATAAAACACAACAGAGCCTAAAATGCTTAAAATTGAAAATCTCAGCATCAGCATATATGACTAGGAAACTTCCATGATAAGACTTAAAAATAGTGGGCAAAACAGACACAATACTATTTCCAAAAATTAAGAAGGGTCATTTAAGCACTTCCCCAACCAAATACACCAATGACCAGAATAAATTCCACCTTGCCACGAAGCTTTTGGCCTGTATTTTCATTCAAAATAGAACTCCAAACAGATTATGCCATAAGAAAGTAGCCACTGTACAATGCAAAAAGAGATAAACTCCTATTTCCCAATTAACCCACAACTAGGGAAATAGCATCGGAAGGTGCAATTTCAAATGAATTTCAATCCTATTGAGGATTTATCTTCAAATAAAATAAGGGTAAAACATGTTTTTAGTCCTTAGAAATATGGCTAAATTTGGTTCTTAGTCCTTTGAAAGAGTTTTTATCAATTTTATTCCTCAAAAATTTTAAAACTTTTTAAAATAGTCCATGTTACCCCTTACTAATAACATGACAACAGTACTTGTCACCTTAGAATGATCCCTAAGATGAAATGACTAGAAGCATGCCACATCATTGCAAAATAGTAATGTTGAGAAAAGAGAACAAAAAACATAGGATGAATCCGTGTGTCTTGACCACACATTAGAACATATATTTATAATAGAAATTATTGGCCGTATAGAGAGGGGCTGGCGATGGTGATATAGCTGCAGAGGGTGTGAATGAGGTGGTGCGGCAGAAGCATGAGATGGTTCTGGTGGAAAATAATGGAAAGGCACAGAAGCTAGAAGAGGAGAAGCAGGAGACTAAGACATTGAAACAGGAGAACTGGGTTTAAAGAAAGAAACAAATTCAAAGAAGGTGACATCAACTGAAACTAAACAGCGACGAAGAGCTGGAGAGTAACACTTATAACCTTTCTGAGACCTAGCTTAACCTAGAAAAACACATTTGTGAGAGCATGGTGAGAACATCACTCCAAAAGAGGAACCTAACTATGACACAATAGAGTATGAGCAGTTTTAATAAGATGTATATTTTTTCATTCAGCAACCCCATTTTGTTTGTAGAGTATGGGCACAAGAGGTCTTATGAATGATACCATTAGAAGCCATAAAATATTGAAATTGATTAGATAAAAACTCACGAGCATTATCACATTGTAAAGTATGAATTGAAACACCAAATTGAGTTTCAATTTCAAGAAGAAAGTCTTAAAAATAGAAAAACTCAGAACAATCTTTCATTAAAAATAACCAAGTACATTTAGAATAATCATCAATAAAAATAACAAAATATTTTGAACTTAAAGTAGATACAGTACGACTTATAACCCACACATCAGTGTGAACTAAAGAAAAGGGAGAAGTAGAACATCGATGGACACACCTAATAAAAGAATGAGTATGTTTTCCTAATTAACACGACTTACAGAACAAAATAGATAACTTAGGAAGACTTGGTAGTAAGTGTTGTAACTTGGTTAAACTAGGATGTCCTAACTGAGCATGAATAAGAGGTAAATCAATTACCGAACCAGCATGAGCAGAAGCATTTAAATGGTAAAGACCATAAGACTCACATCCGATGCCAATCATCTTCCCTGAGCTCCGGTCCTGCAGGTAAACAGAATCTTTGGTCAAAGAGATAACACAATGAAGGGAACGAGTGAGATGACTAATGGAAAGTTAAAAGGGGATCCGGGAAAAAGGGTGGACACTACCAATACCCTGAGATTGTGTTTGGGACTCATTAGTCATTGTGACAGAGGGTAAATAATCAAATGTAGAAACATTGGAGAAAAAGAATTTATTACTAGTGATGTGGTTAGTGGCCCTAGAACCAAGGACCCATGGTCCAAGGAGGAAGAGGGAGAGATACCAACAAAAGAATTACCCGTGTGCACAACAAAAGCAGTGGGACCAAAGGCCTGACACTCCTCCCATCGAAGAAAGCCACTGTATGTGGGTGAAGGAGCATGTGTTGGCAGTTGCTGAATTTTGATGTAGGAAGGAGTAGAGGCAGCCATGGCACAGCGTGAACAGTACCAAACAGGAAAAGAAATGCATAAAAAATTAGGGATCTGTAACCTAGATCGAAGAATAAAGGACAGATTGGAGGATAACAGCACAAAACAAGCAGTAGCCGGAGACAGTGTTGGATGCGCCACAGGAGAGAAAGCTGGTAAAAAAAGAAAAAAGCATGCAGAAAAGTTGCTGGTAGTAATCAGAGAGTCTCAAAAAAAATTTACCCCTATGAGCAATGGGCCCACAAGGAAAGGATGGATTATGGTTTCCTCCTTGTTAGGCTCTTGATATCATGTTGAGAAAAGAGAACAAGAATCAGGATGAACCCGTGTGTCTTGACTACATATCGGAACACATTTATAATAGGAATTATTGATACAAAATAAGAAGTTACTATAATTACAAAAATACTAATTTTCCTATTTATAATATTACTATAACAACATAATTCCAATAAGTAATGAGCCATTTTCAAAAATTATAAAATTTATAAGAACCAAAACTAATAAAAACAATTTAAAGGACTAAAACCAAATTTGGTAATTGTTTGAATCAAGTGTAAATTGAGTCGTACATAAAATGAGATATGGACAAGTTAGCGGTCTATAAGAAGATAGACCCATGCACTCATTGCCTTAAGGTTTTGGGATTGCATTGTGGTGTCCTACTTGTGAGGCTCCCTACCTAAACTCCTCTACCCATCAGTGGTATCAAAACTAGATCATTTCAGGTGACCGGCTCAAACAAGCAGATGAGCCATGATTAGTGTAAGAGTACACCGCAGGAAAAACGATGACACTAGATGAGCCTAAGTAGAGAGCTGGTGGCACTCACATGTGAAGGGTGTGGAGCCCAAAATGTATCGTTGAGTGGACGATAGCCCACGTGGAAGAGAGCAAGAATTGCTCTAGTATAGACCATGGATACTCGTGATAGAGAAAACTTTCGCTAGAGAAGGAGCCAATATGAAATAGATAGATTCATACTTGAGGAGAAGTGTTGGAATTAAGTGTGAATTGTGTCTCACAGAGAATAGGATATGGGCAAGTTAGGGGTCTATAAGGATATGAATCCATGCACCCATTGCCTTAAGGTTTTAGAGTTACATTGTGGTGTCCTTGTTGTGAGGCTCCTACCTAAACTCCTTTTACCCAATAGATAGTGTTAAGATGTCTCACATTAGTTAAGAATAGAGCTAGTATATTCCTTATAAGGGCTAGAGTAGTCCTCCTCCTATGAGCTAGCTTTTGGAAGTGAGTTAAGCCCAAGTTTCTTATTATAGCATCAAAGCCTATCCAATTTGAATGTTGAGCTACCCATAGATGTCCAGTCCTGTTGGAACTAAATATTCAGTCCTACAAATTTCATGCACCAGATGTCCAGTCGTGGGCGTGAGGAAAGTGTGTTAAGATGTCCTACATTGGTTAGAAATAAAGCCAGTATACTCCTTATAAAAGCTAGGATAGTCCTCTTCTCTCTCTTCCTATGAGCTAGCTTTTAGAAATGAGTTAGGTCCAAGTTTCTTAACACTCCTTATAAGGGCTAGAATAATCCTCTTCTTATGAGCTAGCTTTTGAGAGTAAGTTAGGCCCAAGTTTTTTAATAGTAATATTTAAAGGGACTACAAATATATTTAAGCCAAAAAATAATTAGACCATCAAAGAGGTATATATTTCTAATAAGACCTATCATGAAAATAGAATTTTTGCAAGCCAAGTTCTGTAGACCCAAACTCCTTTCCTATTCAAGTCTTCAAATAAGAGAATGTCACAATTTCTTTGCCACACTAGTCCATTGAATGTCCTCGTAATTTTCCCATCCTCTAAAACATTTCACCAAAACTCAAAAGATTAAACTACTGAAGAATACTGAATAACCAAATCCAAATATTATGAAAATGCCATCAATCTAATCATCCAATACCTTAAAGACAGTCTAAACCACTGGATTTCACCCCAGGGATTAGTCCAAAGAGAAATTCATAAATTATATGTAAATCAGCCATAGAAGCATTAGAGGAAAGGATTTGATTTTTATACGTAAATCAACCAAAGAACTGTCAAATTGATCCTAAAAATTAGAGATAAGTAGAGCAGCATAGGAGGAAAGGGTAGAACCAACCAACCCATTCTTAAACCAAATTAACCAACAAAACAAAGACAACTAGTAATAATATTCACAGAAGTTTCCCAGTCCATCCTTCAACCAAAACAACAAAGGCATCCCAATGCACAAAGCACAAACTGCCAATGTTAGGTTCTCGTTTAAATTATCATAAATTTAAAAATCTTTTGAATAAGTATCCAAACACAACATTTTTGTGTGAAAAAGTATTTTAAATTCACATAAAAATTATATTCCCTTCCTAAATTATTTTATCCAAACACTCAGACAAATATATCTTAAAAGTTAGAGATAACTAGAGTCTAGATAGGCAGAGGAGGAAAGAGTAGAACCAGCCAATCCACTCTAAACCAAATTACATTCCCCTCACAAGCCTGGCAGGACTTGTGAGCGGAGAGGCTGCTTCTGCAATCAGAACCTGTGTTACTCCCCTATCTTGCCCTCTACAACCACAAAAACCCAAGATTTAAGTTCAATATTCACAATCATTGTCAACCACAAAATAAAAACTGTATGTTAGCATCCATCACGTGCATTTGCAAGACTCATAAAAGGTCAGAATCAAATTCTCTCAGAAGCACAGGTTGTTAGGTATTAGGTAAGTGCTCAAGAATGGTTCAATATCTAACAAGAATAACGGGATGATCACAATGGCTCCACCTAAAACATTATCATGTCAACCCCCAAGAGCAATGCAGCATTAAATAGAAAATAAAAAGTACTATATTTGAGGTTGGTAGCAACAGACACCACTATTTTCCCTCAACCCGTAGCCCAAAAAGAATAGGTGAGAATAGTGAAGCACCTGAGGAAGAAAGCAAATCCCAATTTTTGTCTAAATATTTCAAAATCTCACAGATACATTCCTCAATGTTCATTCCTGAAGCAATGGGCCAATGAGCAAGAGTATCTTCACCTCTATTTCTCCCAATTACCTAGGGAAAAACAGAGCTAGCATAAATGCATGTAGATAAGTAATGCAGATATAAAAATGTAAAACCAAAAGTATCTTTTTACTTGCAAGTGCTTCAAAACTGTGGAAAAAGGAGGAGGACTCCGTAGATGGAGAGCTCCCCATGAATACTCTGGAGGAACAGTGTGTTGTCTGGACAGAATGGGAGCACAACTCCAAGCTAGAGGCCAATCTTTAGACAAAATAGCTTCATTATACGAAGCAAGCACCCTCTTGCAACCAACACTAGGAAACCCCAGTTCAGCAGGTACACATGCAATCTTGCCAAGTAGGTCACAGAAATTGTTGCTAAAGAAAAGAGCAAAGTTCGAGAAAACAAACTCAATGACAGATCCTCCCAATGCCCACACTTCTTGTGAAACTTCAGATGGAGAGTTGGACATGTCTGCCTCAAAATCATCCAAATCACCTGATTTCATGCACTCAAGTCCAAGAAACTCAACTCTTTTGGCACATTCAATTATTACATCTACTTCAGTAGCAGTTCGAAGGCCAAGTTTCCTTAATATTCGAAGCCACCCATCTGTACTAAACCTTTCTCCAGGGAATCTTCTTCTCTCACCAAAGAAAATAGATATTAAAATAGCATCACCTGGATCAAATAAATCTGTGGGCTTCAACAAATCCGTCGAAAACTCATCAGAATTTCTGACAAATTTAGTCTCTTTCAAAGCGTCAACCACCAATTGATCTGATTGAATATCATGCCAATTTTTATAAACATATATTAATATTTCCTCCTGATCATTCTGAGGTTTCCTCCCAAATCCAGGCAAGCCAAAGCGTACTAAGATCTGTTGATCATTCAACTCCAGAACCCCAAGAGCTCGAAGAAATGAACATTCAGTTGAATCGGTAGCATAAGAAAGACAATGCTCATCATATGGCTTTAAAAATGAATTTGAAGGGATCATACACTGATCTTGACCTTGCAACTTAGTGTAAGAACCAACAACTGTTTTATATATAGGGAGAGAACGCAAAGCTTCAATTTCTTCACGTGTATAGCCAGAGCCATTAGAAAAGAATTCATCAGAAAAAAATGAAAAAAGTGCATCACAATTTGAAGTTGAGAAGTTAGTAGGTTCAGTGAAATATCCAGATTGTTTAGCTGCCAAAAGTTTGGATGCAATAATTTGACCTAGGGATCGACCAGGCATAGCAAAACAATTGCTTGAAGCAGCACAATCTATAAATGCCTCATCAAATATGGGTATATTACATTGGTTTAACATTGGCAACAACCAGGGGTAACTAGTTTTGAATCGTTCAAAAGCTGAAACGTAGGAATCTAACTCAGCTTCAGAAGTACCATCCCTGGACACCCTAACCCCACCTGCATAACTTTCAGTGGATTCTCTTTCTGAAATCCCACTTGTCAATGTTGGTTGCTCCAAAGGAGGTGGAATGAAGACCAGATGCTGCTCTCTTACACGGCACAAGACTGGCCTCCCAAGAAAAGCAGGAATTAGGGGCCAATCAGAGAAAAGAGATAATTCTTCCTGTGAGCCCCTAAAGCTTTTCCAGAATAATCTAATCCATTCAGAAGAAGGACCCCCTTGACTACCAGAACTAGGCAGTTTCTCCCATGAAAGCCATGGAACCATATGTGATCCCATTACATGATTCACCCATTCTTCATGGAAAATTAGTTTCATATGATTGGCCAGCAGATTAAGAGAAAAGTTCTGCAGTTTCAACAGCAATTGAAGGGAACAGTTAGAAAAAATGTCACCTAAGAGAGGCCTGTCTAATATTTTCGGATGAATAAATTTTTCTCCCAAGGGAACCATTAATAACTGCTGCTCTTTATTCCCAATCCAAAGTTCTGTTAAGCCTAATTTTTTTAAATGGCTGGTTGCAGTTGGAAACGGTAAACCTTTGAGTTCTGCAGCAATTGATATAAACTTGTGATCCCTATTTTGGTCTATGCCTTTCACAGCATTCTTGTAAGCCAAGGGTGTTCCTGCTCTACCAATATCTTCAACAACACCTCGACCAAAATCAAATAAAGCCTTCCCTAAACTTGTCATCATTTCCAGTGCATCTCCAGAGCTGGCTGCTCCCTGTGTGGCTGTGCCAAAGGAGCTGTGGATATTAGACTCTGGCTGAGAAGAAGTAATTCTGACATCAGTTTCTCGACAAAGAACATTGGCACTAGCAGGATCATTATCTCTGGCTGAGCTGGATGATTCTGCTTGCTGAAAATCTGACAAACAATACTCAAGAACATCTATATACATGTCAACTGATCGTAGAACAATTGATTTTGAAGAAACTTTAAGGAGATCACGAACCATTTTTGGTCTAATTTCTCGCACTGAAAAACCCACTGCTTGAATTTCAGTTACCAATTCCCATGGTACCGAAAATACAGGATAATGCTCCTTTACAAAGCTGCAAACTGTAGCTGGAAGTAAATTACCAATCAACCCACTCCCAGGCTGTGAAAGAAACATGCCTTCTTCAGCCTTCACCAAATTTCCTGAGTACAGCTGCCACACTGGAAGGTCAATAATACGAGAATAAAATGGATGTATTACCTGTTCTTTAATGCATTCCCAGTCAGCTTTAAGAGCTGTTGTTCTATTTAAAGGAGTCTTATCCTGATTATCAAGTGGATCACCTGGAACATGCCTCTCAAAAGAACGTGGCCAAAAGGAGTAGGTTTGATCTCCATATGCCTTTAAAGAGAGACTGATTGCAGAACTGGAACTAGAATCAACTATAGAACTTGAAATATCTCTCCTTAGCTTTTGAATCTCCAAAACCATTTCAACATAGGAATCACAAACGCAAGACATCAGCTCTCTGTTCCAAGATTCAATTAATTGATTTCCAGCATCAAAGTGGCCCTCAGCTGAAGCCCCTCTGTCTTGGTATTTAAAGAGATAACGACCTCTATTGTGGCACACAAGGAAACAACCCAGGATAGTAACAGGCATGTTTATACAACCAGACAAGGGAAAAGGAGCCATAATTGAGTTCATTGAGTAAACATTTGCATGATGACCATTGCTGGATATAAGTGCTGCTATTCCAGCAACAGGAGTCAAGTTGTAGGCAAGATACCGCCTGAACAGAAAATTTGGAAGTTCAATAGATGCTATCAAACAAATTACTTCAGATTACAGAATTTTCATGAGATAGACAGAATATGGAACATGAAACTTCAATTGTGTTAATGAGTAATTGAATTTAAACATAAACCAAGCCTTATTTACTCTCCTTCAAACTTTAATTGAAAAAGACTACAGAATTAAAAATTTGAAGCATGAACTCTTGCTTAAGACCAAGACAAAGAAGCAATGCCCAAATAAATGAAAAACATCCAGAAATAGACCAAACTACGGAAAATATCTTCCACATTCATAAACTTCTCACTCTTTCCAATTCTTATTCTGTTTCATATTTGTGTGTTTTTTTTTATGCCTGCCCAAGGGACTCAATAAGAACCTATATATAGTAAGTTTAAGGTTTTAATAGAAATAACACAATGTCAAAGAATCTGATGCATTGAAACATTAAATGTACAATTTTCAATAAAAAATTACTATTTATTGATTTTTGTATTGTGTGCCCAAGCACATGTTAAAAAAATCATTTTATATTTTTGAGATTGCTTTCTCATGCTGAGCCATCAACAGGTGAAAAGGTCTTTTAAATCAAGTAGATAAAAGGAAAATAACAACCAAGTTATAGGAAGTCATCAACACAGATTCAACAAATGACATTGTCCTCTATTACAAAAACCAAGTTATTGTAGGACATCAAGATGCATTTTTGACATCCATGATATTTGAGCATAAATACCACATGATATCCACCACATTCTGCACTTAAAACCATACCGATCAAGAGCCATATTTCTTGTTTGACCAGAACCCAAGCTGAGTACAAGAAGCCATCGATCAATGATTGTATTTCCTTCTAAATATAAATTCACATCAATTACATGCATCTTTATCACAGCATTGGAGCTGCTAAATAGTCTTGATAATTGAAACTTTCTCCACTTTTTTTCTGAAAATGGATTCCTCAAAACAGAAGATGATGGATCAATGCTTATTGAAAAATTCTGGCATGGATGAGAATCTCCTTCTTCCCATGTTGATATTGAGACCTGAAAGGCAAGAGTCATGTCAATTTCACTGTGGCTCAAAATAGATTTATGAAAGCATTCCAGACAAGAGTTATCTCACAAGGTAGCAACAACAAACAAAACACAGGAAATATACAGGTGTCTTTCATAAAGAATTTTCTATTAATAATAGATAAAGTAAAAGAGCCAGTTAATAACAGAGGGTAAGGTATCCACAAAAAAAATTACCAAGATACTTAATTAGTGCTTTGACTATTCACCCCCCCAAAAAAATACTCCTTCATTAGATCCAATGTTGTTAAAATTGCGATTAAAATCACAAGATCGTACGATTTTACGACCCTAAACCTCCCTTGCGATCTTGATCGGAACTGGGTTCGCAAATCTGTAAGATCAGCTGGGATCCCAATTTTCTCCCATAGGATCGGTGATCCGATCCGATCCTAGGCGTGGGTTTCTGGGTCAGATTCTGGCCTTGGATTTTTAGGTTGGGCTTTTGCGGGTTGGATTTCCAGGTCGGGTTTTTCTGACCCAGTTTTTAAAAATAGTTCTAGGGTAATTTTTTCCCTTTCTCTCATCTTCTCTCTTCCATGCGACATAGTCTCCCATCTTCCCTCTTCTGTGCGACCCAGGCTGGTCTGGTTGGTCGGTGTTTGTTGCTGTTTGCTGTTCTGATTTGCTCTTCCTTTTGGTTTTGTGTTGATTAGTGTTTGCTGTTCTGGTTTGCTATTCTGGTTCGGTGCTCTGTCTCACAATTCTCCGTGGGTGTGCCGGTTCTATTTGGGTGAGTATGTCTCAGTTCTGTGTGGGTAGATCTGCATGGGTCTCAGTTCTTCATTTCCCCTCTTATTTTGTTCTTTCATTGCTGCATGGCAGATAATATTAGGAAGGAAGTTGGTAACTGTGGAAAAGGAAAGGGGATTCAATCAAGTAGAGCTGTAGAGCCTAACTTTGACATTGAGGATGTTGCTTCTGATGATGACTGGATTGTAGAGGAGGAGAATGAGCTACTATTAGATATGGATTTAGATGAGAACTTGATTCAAGATGGAGAAGCAAGTAGTAGTGTTGTTAGTGCAAGTACACCGATGGATGATTTGGACCTTCCACTTGCTGATGATGATGAAGAGGCTAATGTAAATAATATTGATAAAGATGACTATTTAGAAGATGATTATCCAGATTGAGGCTTGCAAAATTTATTGTAATAGGTTAGTACTAGTTTGACTAATTAGGTGTTGTATTGGATCTAGAATCTATGACTTTTAAGCAGTGTTGTCAAATGGCCGTTATGGCGGCGCCATGGCGGTATGGCGTGGCGGAAATGACGGACACCGTTACGAAGATGGCGTGGCGTGGCGGAATGACGTGGTGGCGCCATGGCGGCCGTTACGAGCATGGCGGTAACGGCCGGCCATGGCGGAAATCGTGATAAATGGCGTTTTTAAAAAAAAAAATGGATTTTCTGCACTTTTGGGCCAGATCCGACCCAGCTCAGAATCCAACTGCCTAAATCCAGGTTTTTTCTCTCTCTTCTCCTTACGATCTCACTCTCCCTCTCTTTGCAATCGCACTCTCTGCGATCTGACTCTCCACTCTGCTCATCTCTTTGAGCTCCCTCCATCTCTCTCTCTCTCTGCGACCACTTCTCTCTCTCTCTCTCTCTCTCTGCGACCACTTCTCTCTCTCTCTCTCTCTCTGCGACTGCTTTCTCTGAGATCTCGTTGCTGAGATCTCATTTTCTTGGGCTCTTTGTGTTTCTATTTTGGTGCATTTCGGTCTGTATTTTCGGCGACTGCAGCTGCATCTCCGGTGACTCCAACCTCCATTTTCGGCGACTGCACTTCCATCTCCGGCGACTCCATTTTTCTGGTAGTTATTTTTTTTCATTTTTCCTCTCAGTTTTTTCTTTATTTCCCCCATTTAAATTTTACCCTTTCCATCTTTCAACTTTTACCTCTCCCACATTTCTATTTTTCTCTGTTTTTTCTCTGTTTTTCCTCAAAAAAAAATTCTATTTATTTCAGCTACTCTTAACATGGCTCAACATGAGTCTTCATTAAATTGTTCAAGAACTTCTAATCGTTCTGACCCGGGATGGAAATATGCTCATTCGGTGAAAGATGGAGATACAAACAACATTGTATGTAATTTTTGTGGAAAAGTTATGAGTGCGGGAATCACTAGAGTGAAACAACATTTAATTGGAAAGAAGGGTAACGTGAAAGCTTGTCCCAAGTGTCCGGAAGAAGTTAGAAAAGAGATTGAGACATATCAAAAGGAAAAAAAGAATCAAAATAATTTTGAGATGCCAAATGTGAGAAGCTTTGAAGGTATATGCTATGATGTAAGTGAGAATGAAGAGGATACCCAAACCCGTAGCGTTGCCATTGGAAATCAGAAAGGGCCAATGGACTTGTTTTGTAGAAAGCCTGAAAGTGCAATTGAGAAAAGAAAAAAGGAAAAATTGAGAAAAACAAATATAAGAGAACGATGTGACAAAGAAGCCAAGGCAAGGGTCCATCAATACATAGCTCGATTTTGGTATCAAGCTGGCCTTTCCTTTTAACCTCATTAAAATGAAGAGCTTTCAAGAAATGCTTACAGCTATTGGTGCTTTCGGTCCAAATTTACCAGCTCCAAGTTATCATGATATTCGAGTTCCACTTCTAAAGAAAGAGCTAGAATATACCGATTCCCTCATGAAAGATCATAAAGAGCAATGGAGCAAACATGGCTGTTCCATAATATCAGATGCATGGACCGATCGAAAGCAAAGATGCTTGATTAATTTTTTGGTCAACTCTCCTGCTGGTACTATGTTTGTAAGGTCTATTGATGGATCTAATTTTGTGAAGACCGGTGAAAAATTATTTGAGATGCTTGATGCTCTTGTGGAAGAGATTGGAGAAGATAAAGTTGTGCAAGTGATAACGGATAATGGAAGCAATTATGTCTTGGCTGGTAAGATGTTAGAAGCGAAAAGACCACATCTTTATTGGACTCCTTATGCAGCTCATTGCATAGATCTTATGCTTGAAGATATTGGAAAGCTTCCTTTGATAAAGAAGACAATTCAAAGGGGAATATCGGTTGTTGGCTTTATCTACAGTCATTCAAGTACCTTGAGTTTGTTGAGAAATTTTACAAACAAGAGGGAATTGGTAAGACATGCAGTTACTCGATTTGCAACTTCTTTTCTATCATTAGAAAGACTTCACCAAGAAAAAGCAAATCTTAGAAAGATGTTTACTTTTGAGGAATGGTGTAAAAACAAGTTATCAAAGGAAGCTAAAGGGAAGCAAGCAACAAAAATTCTATTAAATCCTGTATTTTGGAATAATGTGGTGTATACTTTGAAAATCATGGCTCCTCTTGTCCGGGTGTTACGTTTGGTTGATGGAGAAAGAAGACCAGCTATGGGGTATATTTATGAAGCAATGGAGAAAAGTAAAGAAGCTATCATGAAGTCATTCAAAAATAATGAAAGTAAATACAAAGATGTGTTTGCAATCATTGATAACAGATGGACTTGTCAGCTTCACCGTCCATTACATGCTGGTCACATTTTAAACCCGGAATTTTACTATGATAACCCTCAAATTGAATTTGATTTGGAAGTTACAAATGGGTTGTATGATTGTATCAAGAGGTTGGTGCCAAGTCGGGATGTGCAACAAAGTATACTACTTGAATTACCAATTTACAAGAGCTGTGGTGGTCTCTTTGGGTACGACTTTGCAAAATCACAAAGAAAAAGCATTGCTCCCGGTAATTTATCAAATTCTTCAATATTTTAATTTTAAGGTTATACTTCATCTTCAGAGTTATAATTTGTCTTTCATTTTATAGCTCAATGGTGGAGAATGTATGGACATTCAGCTCCACATTTGCAGCAACTAGCTATCAAAATTTTGAGCTTGACATGTAGTGCATCCGGATGTGAACGCAACTGGAGTGTTTTTGAGCAAGTAATTTTTTATCTCTCGAGCCTACTATTTTCTCTTATAAATTAGAGAGAGAAACTGATTAATATTCTTATAATTAAACTCACGTTGCAGATTCATTCGAAGAAGAGAAATAGGCTTGATCACAAAAAATTACATGACTTGGTTTATGTGAAATACAACCAACAACTCAAAGAACGTTACAATCTTAAAGATGTAATTGATCCAATTACACTCAATGATATTGATGAGTGTAATGAGTGGTTGGTTGGAGAAATGGATGATGATGCTCTAGATGAGGATGCTGGAAATGACTTAGTTTTTGATGGTGATAACACTTTAAATTGGGCAACTGTTTATGAAGCTTCTGGAATTGGAGAGCCTACAACATATACTAGGCGTCATTCTAAGAAAAGAAAGAATCCATCAAGTGGTATCACTATCAAAGCTGCAAAAGTTTCCAAGATTAAGGCATGTTCAACAACAAAAGGAAAAGAGAAAATGGTTCTTGAAGATGATGATGAAGAATTAGAAGATGAAGAAATGTCGGAAGAAACAAAAGATGAATTAGAATTTAATCTTCCACAATCTGAAGGAGAAGAAGAGGAGGGATATGCCTTGGTGGATGAGAAAGAGGATGATTATGTTGGAGTTGAAGAAGAAGACTAAATTGATAATCTTTATTTTTATTGTTAACTTGACATTTGATAATTACATATTTTGTATTTAATTATACTTTAGATTGAAGGTTATGTTACATATATTTTTAGTTAATTATTTTCTATTATTTTCTGTGACCTATAGTATTTTTTTATATATTTTATTACATCCGCCATAAATCTGCCATAACCCGCCATGGCGGCCGCCATAACTTTATGGCAGTTTTTTGAGTTTCCGCCATGAACCGCCATCCGCCATTAATAACATTGCTTTTAAGTTATGTTTAATTAAGTTATGTGACTTTGATGTTAATTTCCTTATGTATGTTATTTTTTATGCTTTTATATATGTTTAAGTATAGTTTTACATGTTTGATAGGATCTTACGATCTATTTTATGATCCCACGATTTACGATTTTTGACCCCCCTCCCGATCCTAGGTAAGATCCCGATCTTGACAATATTGATTAGATCTATAGTTAATTGAGGTTAATTAACTTTGTAATTAATACTTGATTGGATCCTGTACTTAATGCACTAATGGTATGAATAAATTGGACTGTTGTAAACAATAGACACATTTCTCTCGAAAAAAGAAAAAAAGAAAGCCCCCAGGTCTGAAAAATCCTAAATAAGTTATTAAGCAGCTATAAAATAGTGAATGAAGAAATTTATATGGAAAAACCCTAGCTAGCACCAGGCATGTGTTGTAATGTTTTTCTATTGGACCTGATGCCTAAACAACTGTTATGACACTGAAAGAAATTTTCCTTTCTCATCCTTGACTCTAATTTCTTAGTTGCATCAACAACCCAATCGTATTTCCCCAGCAGAAAGCACAACACTTTTCACCATCACCATGTCAAATTCCTAGCATTTCTTACTTGTATTTGCCACAAAACCTAATCTAGCATGCATTACTCATATCCCATAATCCTCAATGGCTCAACCTAATACTTTCAAAACCACCTTTCCTCCACATATCCCATACAAACATTCAGTTCCCCAAGTTCTAATATCTACTTTTAATCAGAAGAAAAATTAATTTTAATCAAATCCCATGTTTTTTATCCAACCTGCATCAATCTACAGCAGAAAAGTTATAAATTTACCTGCAAAACTGACTTCAAGAACAGGAGTGCTCTAGATCCATGATCCATAAATAAGTTAGTAATATGCCTTATTCTGTTAGATCCAAAGTCAGGTCCAACGTTCAAGCAATCAGATGACAGAGGCATGCGAATAATGGTAGAATCAGCTAATGACCACAAGTCATTCCGATCAATAAGCATTGGACTAAATTGATCACAAAATCTTTGTGTCAGATCAGTTCCTGAAACCTCAAAATAAACAACTTAGTTTTCTAAAATTGTATGGGAAATTAACAATAAAATTAATAAATAATCAAAATTCATGAATTCATTCTTCAAACTGAAAAAAAGAATAAAAGAATAATTAAGTTGTTTTATTTTATAAAACAAAATAATTAATAGAAGGTGCATTAGACGATCAATACAATATACCTATCAAAGAGAACATTTTTGCTGAGGGGGCATTAGTTGAAGGTGCAGCAAGTACCAAACCACGAGGATCGAACATATAAAAGTAGCCACCAGAAATGACTGAGAGAAGGTCACATATGGAATAGCAGCAAACCAATCCCAAACCATAGTTAATTGTGTTGCCACGTAATCGCCATGGAGGACGGAGTTGGAAATTACAAAATTCCTCTCGACTCAAGCAAGCACCTTCAAAGATTGCTACAAGAGCAGGCCCTTGGAATTCACCTGTATAAATAAATCTTGCCGTGTTAACAGCAATTTAGGAAAGTTATCAAAAACAGTTGAAGCACACAGCATGGTCATTTCACAACCAACAAACAGCATAAACTTTGAAATTCCCTAAGCTGCAGATTGACTATTGGTATTCCATGAGGATGTAATTAGCTTATTAACACTGTTGCATACAATGATGTCCAAACTTATTTGTAAGGACAGTCCTGTGTACGAAGCTCCCACAAATAGAGTCTAGGATAGTCCAGTCTCTTACCTACTGGAGCAGAGAAGTTTCTGTGACTAGAACTTGTGGTCACCATGTCACAAGGCAGCAACATAACTGCTGGATGAGAACAAGAGAAAAAATACTTCCTGAACACTAGAAGAACATATGCATGAGTTACAGCAACTGAGCCACATCCTCCTACTTGATGAGTTAATTCTTTGATGGTTATTTATAGAAAACTTATGGTTCAAAACGCTTGACTCAGGCATGATGGGCTGGAAGTGTAGCAGGAAATATTCTCTACCCTGTGAAGCCAGACTGAGGCAGTGCCCCATCATTGATCCTCACAGAGCCTCCACCACTAACACAAAAAGAAAGGTGAATTTTCCATGTACTTTTACTTTTGACTAAAAATCTTAAAGTTGGCCTCAACAATTATTCTCTTTCTATTTAGGCCCCCACATCTCCAGTGAAGCAGAGCATCATTGATCCTCACAGTGCCTCCCTCAACCCCACAGATAAAAAAGGCAAATCCATGCATTTTGTCCTTTTGACCAAAAAAACTTAGCCTGAGCAAGGACTGTTTCTATTTGGGTCCCCTCAATAAAGTGGTCTAGCTCTCAAGGTAGTCAAAATCGACATTCTAAGTAGGATCGGAGAGGAGATGAAAAATCGTAACTCGTAGAATCGTAACACAAATCGTAAGATTCTACAAAATTATATAAATACATGTAAAATAGTATAAATATAAAGACCAGAGGACAAATGAGAGAAGTGAGCCACCCCACCTCAATCAGAGATACTAAGAACAGAAACATAGAGGGAAAAGATAGATTAAATATTGTATTCTGATAAAAGATTATTTTATCCTTAAAGAAACTTAAAACAGAACCACTTTAAGGGTAAAAAGGGAAAGCCAAATTATTTTTAAATGATGAGAAGTCTTGTTTTTACCCTTAAAAAACCCTAAAATCTGCTTCATAAATCCTAAACCCTAAAGAATATTTTATCCTTAAAAGAAACTTACAACAGAGCCACTTTAAGGGTAAAAAAGGAAAGCCAAATTATTTTTAAATGATAAGAAGTCTTGTTTTTACCCTTAAAAAACCCTAAACCCTAAATAACTTTTACTCCAGCCGCACTGTGAATTAGGCTACGTTGGCTGCAAATACAGCTGCGATGGCCACCACAGCAGAACACTATGCTATAACAAGGTCGCCGGCACAGAGCAGAGTCGCTGACACAGACAAGGTTGCCGGAGCAGACATAGTCATCATAGCGAAAGCTATAGGGATCGCAGAACAGAGGAATGAAGTTGCAAAGTCTTGGTCGCGTCCAAAAATAGTGGAGAAAGAGGCGATTTGAAGGAGAAAGGGTAGAGAATGGAATGAACAGATTTGCTGTGCTGAGGAAGAAGAGAAGTGCGCTTCACAGGTTGCAAAGAGGCAAGAAATCGGAAAGAAGAGTGAAAAAAAATACCCTAAAAATAGGGCAAACAACTCGCCCAGGATCGCAGATTCCACGATTTCACGAGGAAGATCGTGCGATCCCAGAAATCCCACCAAAACGAGTTCCAGCCCAGGATCGGGATCATTGGACCTGCGTTAGATCGTAAAATCGTATGATTTTACGTGTTAACTCGCGATTTTGACTACCATGCTAGTTCTGACTCTTCTCCAGTCTACAAAAGTAAGACCTAATAAGACGTGCCTTTTCTCATATCACATAGCTCAACTCCCAACTTGGAGTAGGCAGGTCATTATGGTCAATCCACCAGTCCAACCCAGACAGACAAAGCCAATTTCCATTACCTTGGTGACACCACTCCTTGAGTTAAAAAAATTAGCACCACCTCTCTGACCTAGAAGAACATCATCCTCCAAAACCATATAGAACAAAAGGAAAAAGAATAGAACCCTCCAAGTAAAAATCATAAAATCCTCCAATTATGCTAAGCATTTAGAAGGAGAGAAGCAGAGCACCGATTAAATTATCAAGTATTCAGCAACATAATCTGGTCTTTAAAGGCATCATCAGCATCCAACCATATAAACACTGCACTACAGCTAAAATTGACACATCACAAAATCTTCCATTTATTAATATTATTGGGGAAATGCTTAAAACCAGAGATCAAATTAGCACACCATAAAAAGTTTATATGACAAATAGCATGAGCTTCTCAAATGATGAGGATAACAACAAAACAAGATTACAAGAAGCATCAACCACATTAATATCTGCAGTTCTGTTGAAAGAAAAGCCTATATATTTTCCTTAACAAAAATATGAAAGTTTATTAAAAAAATAACTAAAAAAGTTACCTAAATTGTGCTGCAGCAAAGTTTGACAAGGATGTTCCCTCTTGTCATAAATCAGGTGCAATCTCTTTGCTTTGCAGCAATCTGCTAACTCGAGAAGATCAAACAACAGAAACTCATTGTTTCCATACAGGGCCAAAAGCTCATTTACTTTATTGTAGTCCATGCATGGCAGATCTTTAGTTAAATCTTCACTGACTAAAGAGAGGCATCGAACAGACTGTACACCCAGTCTGTCTGCCAATTCATTGCTGATACTTGGATGTACAAAATGTCTCCCAGTAAGAGAACTGTTTTCCATCCAAGGTGCATCATTATATACAAGATCTCCAGCATGCATCAGAACTCCAAAATCATTAGGAATCAACAAAGGACTATCAAAAGGCTCAAAATGTGGCTTCTCCAGGAAACATTCTGCTATGGCTTCAAGTACACAATGGACAAAATTTAACTGATCTGTTGAAAGAGGAAGTCCATGCACATCATTCTGCAACCTTTGCAATACATGAAGATAGTCTGAAATACCAAAACTTAATCTAACTCCTAACTTTATCATCAAATCTCTATACTCTGACAGTTCAGATGGAACAACATACAAATAAGGAGTAAATTTTACAGGTGAATCAAATGCAAGTGCATTTGGTGATACAAAATCATCACCAATCCAAACCCATGAAACACCATCTAACCCTGCTTTTAATTCATTCAAGTCATTGGTATTAATATATTCTTGCAATTTTGAATAAAGGCGAGGTATTTCCTTCTGTAACTGAGCATCAAAACCAGGATCCAGCAGTGAATGTGTCTTAAGCTCTTGATAGGACTTGGACAGCTCAATTAACTGTCTCGTTAAAACACCTATTGGGCAATCCATCCACCCAAGTTTATTTTGTAGGTATATCATGTCACATTCACAATCTAAAATGAACATTGAGGAAGATACCATCCACATCTGTGATTTAGGCCTCACACTAGTGGGGGGTGCTACTACTTGGTTACTGGGTTTTAACCATGGAAGTCCCCTAACAGCTGCATCAGAAATTACTGGACACCAAGAAATTAGCTTCAATTGAGACCAAAATTCATCCTCTACCATATCACAAATCGAGTTGCTTACAAATGAAGCAATATCAGTAAGTGAGTTCTCATCTTTAGGAAAGCCATCATATACAAAAGCATCATCCATTACAGTGCTACATCCTGCAGCCATGACTCCTTGTTGATCATCATTATTACTTTCTCCTTTATTTGAGAGCTTAAATGCTAATGTATCTAAAAAAACCAGTAATTGTCTACCATGCTTGAAGGCTTCAGTGTCCCCAGAATCATGCAACAGGCTGACTGATCTAGCGCAATCAACCAAACCAGTAAAACCCAGAGTTGTCCTAAGTCCAAGGCAAACTAAAGTATCCAAAATTTCAGGATCTAAGAATTTGTCACATGGAAAGAAAACATTCCCATTCAGCATTTTTCTAAGCTGCGGAACCCGAGGATCATAAAGCCTGCAATAACATTATAGTCAGCAATCCAAACAATGTCAGGCTTTAAGCAACTAAAATTCTTAATAAAGCAGCTTAACCCTTCCAGGATAAGACATCAACGATAGCTGCACCTGAAATTCAATGGATGCATTTAAAAAACTTAGTTGGATTAATCTACAAATATTTTGGTGTCTAATTAGTAATTACAGTATGATTTTATCAAAGTAATTGATTCATGACCTGTTTTGGTTGAGTCAAACTCCAACACAAACTGCAAACATATATTGATGTCAAAGCATGACTAAATTCCAATCAAGTTAAGGTAGCAGGTTAATGCCATTCTTTTAAATATTATTAAAGCTAATTAATTTAATATAGATCATTGAAATATCAATAAACTCCTCATTAATACAAATCATTGAAATCATATTACGTCTTCATATTTAAGCTAGCTTAGCTTTTGGTCCCACAAGCAGATTATATGTAAAGGGGGAACATCAGCAAGTTCAGATGGTACAAAATAGCATGGTTTCTTATAAGAGCTTCAGACTAGTACAAACACCATAAATATTAATCACATATACAATTATATTATACATCTATACCAAATATTGCAATTGTGGGAGATGAGTGACAGCTTAAAATAATGCTAAAATGGCAAATACTACTCAACCATAACAAACAGCCTTCTAATAAAAGGTTAGTAGACAACTCTTCAGATATGAAAGATGTTTCCTACCATTTATTTTAATGCCAAAATACGTCTAGTGTAATAAGTAATATCAACATTCAAGTTACACAAATGATTTTAAATAACCAAATTCATCAACCAATTAAAAAAGAATAAAGATGAGGAAACATCACAGACAACATACATGTTTGCATTATTTGTTGAAAGAATTTAAGTTCCAAATTTAAGAAACTTGAACAAGTTACATTGCAAATTTGAAATTAATGTTGTTCCTAGTACAAAACTGACCTACCAGTACTGAGCATTTAGAAGCAAAATCACAGAAAAGGAATTTTTTTATATAATAATGGAAGACGAGAGAATTTTTTGAAAATACACACACGTGATATTACCTAGCCGGTTGTTGCCAAGATCCATCAGCTGCTAGAACAAATGGTGCAGAAGAGAACAAAGGCTTGAGAGAGATATCCTCTTTAATCAAAAGCTGTACATCATGCAGAATGGCTGAAACAACTTCTTGCTTTGAACAGAAATCTGACATGTGATTGAAAATGTAATCTTTGTAGAATTCCGCTTTTGTCGGTTCTTTCATCCCCAAATACCTTTTCATAATGACCCGCTCCATTTCCGATTCAGTTCTTATGAAATTATCATTTAAAAGATCTTCACGAACACCAGTAGGACCAAGCCATTTAGTAGGCTTACTCAAACTTACTAGTTTTCTGCTTTTATATGACTCAAATATCGGGAGGTGTTTGATGATTTCAATGTGTGTGCTATAAATTTGCTCTTCGGAGAACCATTTCAACTGAAGAACAAAACTTCTGAGTTCATGAAGCTCCCCTTCAGACACATCAATGAAGAACCCCTCAATCTTCTGTGGCTCCCCGGCAATAGCTAGAAACACATTTAATACACCACTTGCTGTTGCTGACTGCACAAAGTATTCCAATTTAGGGTGATCTAATTGCAGGTCATGTCTCAAGAATAAACATCCAACCTTTAACAACAAAGAATACATCTTCTCACTCCATCCATCATTTTTTATCACTTTCAAATTTGGTGTTAACTGCATCAGGCAGTCATCCCCAACAGGCAATATAGGCCATTTAGAAAACATCACAAGATCATCACAATATGATCTCAGATAGTTCCACAGTAGTTGCAACCATTCTAAATTGGGTTGACCATGAATACCAGGAGTCCAACTTACTTGTCGAGCATGCTGCCACTCTACAGGCAGTAATTTCACAAGAAGTTTCTCAAGCAACTGGCATGACAAGAAAGAAATATTTGTGCCATCTGTTTGGGCAATGTAACAAAGTTTTCTATGAATTTCTTTTGGAATAGAACAATCTACAAGTTGATGAGGAATGGAATCTTTAAGAAGGCCGTATTCATCACCACGTGCAATGTAAACTCTTTCTCCAACCCCCTTCATATCAATTGAAGTAAAGGAGCCATCTGCAAGTGGTAACAAAGGCAAGCCAGATATAGCATCAAACTGCATGGATTCTTGTAAGTCATGTAAGCAATATTCGAGGGTCAAAATCATTGCATCCCTGTCCTTGAATTCACGCTTCTTTCTGATTAACAAAGTCCTTAACAGCTTCGGTGTCAGAAAATGCAATGATGGACAGATTTCCTTAAACCTTTCTAAAAGTAACTGTGGAAGTGTAATAACAGGTAGGGAAGCACCAGACAATGCTTTTATAAGCTCAGCTGCCTTGGGGAAAGTAAAATCGGGAAATATAGCATTCTTGGTTGAAATCCACTGACCTCCTCTTGCTTCAGTATACAATACACGAAGATTAAATTCAGCAACAAATTGATAAAGTTTTCGTACTACTGATGACCAAGGTTCTAAGCCTAATGTTGTTGGCCATAATGAGAAGAACAAATTGCAAGGGCCGACCTCTGATGCTATCTTCTCAAGTAAATGACCATAGGCAGGAGCAACAACATTTTCAAGGAGGTAAATATTCCAGTCTGAGCGCTTTCTTCCACCTCCAGTCATATCAGAACCAAACCAGATATCCCTGCGATTTGATGATAATTCGAAGTATGCATTTACATGGGCAGGAAGACCAGTACAGATTGGTAAAGGTAAGAAGCAGAATGCACGACCTTCAAAATTTTCCAGTAGATGTGTAGGAAAACTAGCACTTCGAAACAGATCAGGAGAAACAATACATTCATCCTTCCCTTCTGGACTTTCAACCAAGTCTCCATCAAGCTTAATAGAATTCAAATATACAGCTACACATGCCCAAGGAACAAAATTGTGGCAGTTACTATTGGCTCTTTCAGATGTTCCCTTTTGAGCATTCCCACCACCTAAACATTCTGTGGTTATCCAATAGTGTGAATTATGATTAGTTGAGCTTTTTTCTGTAATTAGGATCTTCTGGCATCTATAAGGCAAATCTCTGCCAATGGATAGGCTAAGTTTCTTCAAAAACTGAACTCTATTCATTCCAACACGTCTACTTTCCTTGAAAAAGTTGAATACATCCTGGGCTTTGGTAGATCCAATTTCAGGCTCACCAATACAGGTTCTGCTTACACATTGCAGTAGGTGCATTTCATGTCCTGTTCCTTCCTTTACAAAAATAGAAATAGATTTCACATTACGTAGGAAAAGTAATGTTTCAGAAACCACCTCAGAAAAAGCAGCAAAGAGAGATCTGACATCTTCGGGTGTATAAACTTCATTTTTAATTTGGCTACGGGTGGCAACACCTGCAGTTCTAAGAGGGAATCGAAATAGAGTACCAGGAAAAGCGTGTTGTAAATCACAGCCAAAATGCAGCAAAGAAGAAAATTGATCAGGAAATTGGTCCAAAATCTGTCGTCCAACAAACTTAATTCGTAAACCAGGATGTGAAGGAGAAATCCCTGGCAAATTACTGGCATGAGGATCAAATATTACAATATTTTCTCCAGAAACAAACATGGGGATGTCTGTGAAGTGATAGACACAATTAAATCCAAGACCAAATCTTCCTATTGCAAAAGCCTTCTCAAGTTTACTTTCTTGACCGATACGAGAAATTGCATAAAGATCTTGAGGGCTAAAAACTGAGTCATTGAAACAATATAGAGCAGGACCTTGCCAATCAGCCATTTCAGGAGAAAGAATAGAAGAAGTCCCATATTGAGACTTATCTAATAGAAATATTACTTCAGAAGCTCCTGCATCTTCTGCATTTTGTACCAGCTCAAATAGAGTCCCAGGTCCATCAGCATACATTTCAAGTATATGCTTAAGCCGTGTAGTCAAAGCCTCATGCTGTCCAAAAGCCTCAGCAGCTCCAGACAGACCAAAATTCATTGAATCTGCACTCTCAGCCAGCAACATCCTGCGAAGAGAGTTGACTCCAAGCTTTTCTGCTACATCATTAGAAATGTTTCCATGCACAAATTTTTGAACTGTTCGCCTTGCATTCCAAGCCACAGTTGATGCATTGCCAAATGAGCCATTAGGATCATCCGAGCCAAGCAACCAGGGGGCATCATTGTAAACCAAGTCACCAGCAAGAAAAAGTCTATTTGACCCATCTGGCAGATAGAGCTGAACTTTTTGTTCATGATGGTAAACTTCAGCTAGATGATGCACTATTAGTGTCACAGCCCTGATCTCCTGCATGTCAAGAGGAGATGATCCTTTTCTAACTGCCATCCTACAAAGAATATTACCATAGTCAGCAGGTTGCAAGATTTCACGAATACCAAGTTCTAGAAACAAATTTTTGAAAACTGCCAAGTCAACTGGTATAACACGTATATATGGAGCCAAATGAAGAGGACCATCAAGGACAACCTCATCAGAAGTTGCAAATCCATCCCCCACCCAAATCCACCGACTTTCTTCAAGAACAGCTTTTACAATCTCAATCTCATCCGAACCTGTCATTCCAGTCAGTATTGAGTATATCCTTGGCATTGCTAAGGCTAATTCCTGCCTAAGAACTTGATCAGACACAATCTCATTGTTTTTTCCAAGCTCCAGTAATTGGGCAGCAATTACACCTCCTCCAGGTGGAGACATCCATCCCAGGCTATATAATAAAGCTGTAGAAGAGCATTCACAATCCAGTATCCGCATGCTAGCCGAGACTAGCCACAAATCATTTAGTGGTCTTACAAGTTTTGGAGGAGCAACCATTGATGACACAACCGGCCATGGTAATGACTGAAATGGAGTAGAGACCATCACTGGGCACCAGGAAATCAGCCGTAGGTCATTCCAGAACTTTTCAAGATCAGATTTTATGCTGCGAGACCTAAAAGCAGTTGTTGCTCGTGACAACATTCGGTTAACTGCTCCTTTATTGTCAACAACTTGATCAGGAAGCCACTTCAATGCATTAACTTCTAGGTAAGAGAAAAGAACTTTCCCTTTTAAATATGCCTTCTGTTGATCCTCATGCATCAGACGTTCTATGCATCGAGCACTTTCTAAAACAGTATCTGGAGACACAGAAGTTTTGAGGCCCAGGCCTCGCAGAATATCAAGTATTTCAGATTCTTGAAAAGCACCAGCAGGGAAACTATCTGAGTCTTCTAGTAATGCATTCAGTTCTTCGTTACTAGGATCATATAAAACTGAAGGGCACTTGAGAGCACCAGTGAGTGTCGGGATGAATTTCAAATTTCTCAACAAGTCCCTAATAGATATGTCCTCAAGGGACAAAAGTGGCAAATTTTGGAGAACAGATAACATTATGCTATCACGAACATCATCTTGCAAATCCCCAACTTTATTAAAAATATGTTGCTTGTAAAACTGTGCTTTCCCCATTCTCTCAACTCCATAATATTTTGACAGAATATCCTCTTCGATATCTGAGGATCTAACCATGAACTCACTTCCCACCAAAATAGTCTCCGGCACATCCAATGGTGGTAAGTACTTTTTAGGATTCTCTAAGCCAGAGAATTGGAAATCTTGAATAGACTCTCGGCCATAGACTCGAAATATAGGTAATCTCTTGCAAAACCTTATGCTAAATTCATCCATAGAGTGTCCAAGATACCATTTAGGGTCAAGAAGAAATCTGCGGAGCTCGTTTCGCTCTTCAGTTACTAGAATATCAAGTGAAACTTGCAGAGCATCAGCACTTGAAAATGCATTAAATATTGATTCCAGAACACCTGCTGCACTGCCATCACACACATAATTAGATAAATCTGGATGTTCAATTGCATAATTTGACTTCAATATATTACATCCGATTTTCACAAGGATATCCTGTACTTCATCAGAGAGATTGCTTCCATTAATCATTTTAAGTTGTCTGGAAGGTCTTAACAGGTTCCCAGAGGTGGAAGGTAAAATTGGCCAATCACTAAATAGCGGCAATATTTCAGTCTGTTTTCCTAGATATTGCCATAATAGCAAAAGCCATGATGATGATGGCTTTTGACAAGACTCAGGGTCCCAGAACACTTTACTTTTATATTTCCATTCAGCTGGCATAAATGCAGGGAATAGTTGAGCAAAATGATGAATGCTACAAAGAGTAACATTGGTCTTTGAGGACATTGCTATACCAGAGAGTCTGCTTAAGATATTGGGAGGAACGTTATGATCAATTACTCTATTAAAAACTGGCTGCAGCAGCTTGTATTCTAATTCATCACAAATGAAATAAGAGATTCCTTTTGATGCTTCCGAAAATGACGCAAAATTTCCATCTGCTAATGGAAGTAAAGGAAGATCATATGCTTCTCTACCAACATCATCATCAACCAAGTCCTCTAGGCAATATTCAAGCAATAGAAGCTTGTATGGTCTGCTTAAATAATTAAATGTTTCACATTCCCTAAGAAATTGGCGTACTGTACCAGAAGTAACTACCTTGCTGGAATTATATTGTAGAAGCATATCAAACAATGAATTAGGCAAATGCACGACTGGCATTCCCAGTTGCATCAGCGCCAAACCAAGGTCCTTGCTTTTGGTGAATTTTTCATCATGAAGAAAGGCTTCACTTGGTGATACCCATCTTCCTCCATTGAAATCTGAATACATAACTGGAGCATTACCAATGATTTTGTATATTTGTTGAACCAAAATATTCCATGGCTCTTCAAAAGAACCAATAGGCCATGAAGAATAGTAAATGTCCGTTGGCCCTAGCAATTCTCTAATGCCAAGCAGCATATGCACAAAAGCTGGAGCTATAACATCTTCCAGAAGAAGCCTATTCCAGATAGAGCGAATTTTTCCACTTCTATCCATGTCATCCCCATACCAGATCCCACGACGATTTGATGCAACCTCAAAGAATCCATTGACTTGTACGCTGAGGCCAGTTCTAACAGGCAGTGGAAGAAAACAGAATGCCTGACCAGTCCTAAGAACATTGTTCTGCAAAAACCAAACATGGCAATATGAGGATGAAGAAATATCATTAAAGAAACCCCTTCAAGAAAATAAGTGGAAACTATCCTTCAATAAAAATGGTCAAAATTGGTGTTCCATCTTTTGTTTTAAACTTTTAATAAATCAGATGCAAGAAAAGACTAGTCAAAGGTAATGTAGGGAGATCCCTTCCCAGTGCCACCTTGAAGACCTGGACAACCCTTAGTTTTTCACTTCTCCGATGTGAATTTATGGCAGCATTAGCCTATTGTTCATGTTACGGTGACTCAATCAATTTAGTAGATTTACTGTCTTATTTCCTTTTTATCTTTTCCTTAAATTTTTATGGATGATTAAGACTTACAAAAACTTTTAAAGTCCAATTTTCCATAGGTAGCCTATTGTTGCAATCTACAGTGCCTGTAAAAAATTCAAGGTCTGTGATCAATAAAGCCCTACTTTCTAAATGCTATACATGTAATATCCTTTTCATAGGTAAGTTTATCATTTTCATCATACTTATTTAGATACCAAAATAGTTCCCAAAAAAAAAGGTTCTAATAGATGCATCTAATGGAGCCCACAAGGGAATTGGGACTGACAGGATACTACTGGAAATTCATTCAGAACTATGGGAAAGTTGCAAGACCCCTAACTGAGCTGACAAAGAAAGATGGGTTCTGTTGGAATGAAAAGGCCCAAAAAGCTTTTGAAGAATTAAAGGTAAGAGTAACTACAGCTCTGGTATTTGCTTTGCCAAACTTTGAGAAAGAGTTTGAAGTGGAGTGTGACGCTTCGAGCATTGGAATTGGAGCTATTCTTATGCAAGAGAAAAAACCTATTGCATATTACAGCAAAGCTCTGAGTGACAGAAATGTTTCCAAGTCAGCACATGAGAAGGAACTTATGGCCATAGTCCTAGCCATCCAGCATTGCGTCCCTATCTGTTAGGGAGAAAGTTCAAGGCCTATACAGACCAAAAGAGTCACAAACACTTGTTACAGCACCGTGTGATCAATGGCAATCAGCAAAATTGGTTAGCCAAGCTTTTGGGGTATAGCTTTGAGATTGTATACAAAGAGAGGGGCGGATGCACTGTCCAGGCGTGGAAAGGAGTTGGAATTGCACTCTGGTGTATTTTCCTTATGGTTAGACAATCAGGCCATCATAACAGAGGTCCATGCAGATGAAAAGTTGAGGAAGATCATTGAGGAACTGGAACAAGGATCTAATAAACAACCTGGTTTTTCTTATAAGCAAGGAGTTTTGTTCTATGGCCACAGATTGGTAATTTCTGAGAAATATGCATGGATTCCTAACTTGTTGCAGGAATTTCATGTTACATCGCAACAGGGACTCTCAGGATGCTATAGAACTTACCGACGCATGGCTGCTAACATTTATTGGCATGGGATGAAGAGTGTGGTGCAGAAATATGTACAAACGTGTGACATTTGTCAGCTACAGAAATATTTGGCTACTGCTCAAGCAGGACTCCTACAGCCTTTCCCAATTTCATTAGATTTCATCATAGGATTGCCCGTTCAAAGGGATTTGAGGCTATTTTGGTGGTTGTTGATAGGCCGACCAAGTATGCTCACTTCATTCCTTTTAAACATCTTTATACAGCTAAGGGGATTGCTGAAATTTTTGTCAGGGAAGTAGTTAGATTGCATGGTGTTCCCAATTCAGTGGTGAGTGATTGAGACCCTTTGTTTATGAGTCACTTTTGGAAAGAATTTTTTCGATTACAAGATACAATGTTGAAGATGAGTACTGCTTACCATCCTTAAATGGATGGCTAAACGGAAGTGATTAATTGGTGTCTTGAGACTTATTTACGTTGTTTCATCACTGATCAGCCTAAGGGATGGGTCCAATGGCTGCTATGGGCGGAGTATTGGTATAACACTACGTACCACGATTCAACAGCTTCTACTCATTTTGAGTCAATTTATGGCAGAAAACCTCCTATTGTGGTTAGATGTATGCAAGGAGAAGTTAGAGTAGAAGTTGTGCAACACGAATTGATCGACCATGATGAAGCACTTAGACAATTGAAGAACCACTTAGTGAGAGTGCAAGACAGAATAAAGACTCAAGCTGATAAGCATCGACATGAAAGGAGTTTTTTGGTAGGAGATTGGGTCTTTTTGAAAATGAAACCACACAGGAAGCAATCTGTCATGACTAGGATCTATCCTAGACTTTCAGTTAGGTACTATGGACCTTTTGAAGTGCTGGAATGGATTGGAGCAGTGGCTTACCGATTGAAACTTCCTCCATCTTCAAAAATACATCCCATGTTCCATATGTCTCTCCTCAAGAAGGCAATTGGTGATTATCAAGTGCAAGCTGAATTACCTGCAGATTTAGAAGATGATGGTTCTGAAGTGATGGAACCACGGTCAGTGTTAGCAACTCGAAGCATCATGAAGCATGGTGAAAGGGTGAATCAATGGCTGATACATTGGTCTGGCAGGACAGCAGAGGAAGCAATGTGGGAAGATGAAGTGATTTTTAGAAGCAAATTTCCTAGCCTCAATCTTGAGGACAAGACTATTATTGAAGAAGGAGGTATTGATGGAGCACATAAGGGAATTGGGCCCAAGGAGCCTCTAGTCCATGAATTGGGAACTAATCCTAAGGCTTGGAAAGTTTATGGCCTGAGTAGCGGGAAGGTGGTTATAGGAGAGAGAGTAATTCTCTGTTATTTAGAATGATGAGAGTACGTGGGGGGCTCATTTTCTGTTTTGGCTGGATAATTTCTGTTAGGATAGGAGATTCCTTGTGATTCTTCTATAGGAGCTAGGCTCTGGACAGAGGATGTTTCTCTCTGTGTAATTTTCCTTTATCACAAATAATACAAATACTAAGTGTACTGTGTTTCCTTCTTTAATTCTCTCTATTCTCCATATTGTCACTCTGGTACGTATCAGCATCATTGACTGCATTAAATATCTTAACGGATTCACCAAAATGGCAGCTTTAATTTTAACAATATTCTAAAAGTAAAGTTACAGCATGCAAAATTCAAATGAATTTAAAATTTCAGACATTTATTATTTTCAGATAAACAAAGGACAAATTTACTACTAGAAACATGAACATCTATGGAGTATCCCATAGCCTACAGGGAAAAAAAAGGAAAGAAAGGACCTCAAAACAAAGAAGGATGTCCATATCAGTAAAGAGCTCAAATGCTCTGGATGGCCAGTTAAAGATACATCTCTGATTTAAATGTTATAACCAGAACACCATAAAGAAGCCAAAAGTCATAAAATCATGAATTTGTAATTAAGATCCTAACATTCCTTTATAACCAAGACAAACAAGAAACAGCAAGCATTGCATTTTCTATGAAACATTACCCCCATTGATCTCCCAAAACCTCACCAGAGGAGTAAAATCTTTTAAGACTTTCTGAACAAACCCAAGAAGTTATTAGACTTCAAATATATGCCTAGCTTTCAATCAAAAGTTGCAGTCAAATTAATTGCAGGGCTAGATGGGCCACTACTTTCAACTGTGTCCACATTCACACAAAGATGAGTAGATGACAGTTACCAAGGGTGCAGAACCAAAGGTAAAATTTAAAATTATAGCAACAACTTGAATTCTGTGTTGGGGGAAGAGAGAGAGGAGGCTTAGGCAACAGGCATAAGTATAAGATATTGCAAATTACATTCAGCGAATTATCAGAAATGCATGCCGCGATTGATGCCCATGGCAGCAAGTGAATGTCATATTCTTTTGATGCAGTAGTAGCAAAAGAACCAATCCTACTTGATGCTGAGGCCATGGTTTGCACCACATAAAATCTCTCTGTTAGCCTCTCAGTTTCATCTCCATTTACCATCTCAATTAAGAAGTCCAATGGAAATGCATCCATTTCAGTAGTGGTATTTAAACACTTGGACAATCTGACCAATGCCTGCCGATGCCAAACTGTATCATCAGTTACTGAAGTAACAGAACAAGAATGAATTTTCCTTGGTTCAGGTTCTCCAGCCTCCCACTCGTATATTTGAATGCACAGCACACTCTTTAGAAAGAGAAGCGTCAAAATGCCTTCTTCAAAGAGTTGAACAAACATAGAGGAAATGTCTTCTGGTGAGTATGCTTGCCTTGAGAGCTTACTTTTGGCTGCCTGATCTGCACTCCTCAAAGGGAAACGGAATAATGTTCCAGAAAAAGTACTTTGCATGTCACAACCAAAAGCACAATAGGGGGAAAACTGGTCATTGTAGAAGGAGAGGGCAGATGAACCAGTGTAGTCAATCCGTTTCCCAGGATTTGCTGCAGAAACTCTAGGAAGATAAAAACCCTGAGGATCAAACAATACAACATATTTGCCACTCACAAAAGAGGGAAGATCTGTCAAATGGTACACTGAGTTGAAGCCAACCCTAAGAATCATACAGAGAAACAAAAATGAAGACAGGAATTAGATAAGTACAAAGAACCTAAATATTGGGTTAATATGAAAATTATTTACAAAAATATATGATAGAAAGGGAAAGAGAATGTCGATAACTAAACTAGAAGACAAAATTTTTAAAAATATATACACAAACAACTTTATCTACAGATACACTAAAAATGACAGGCACTAAAACACGACATTATCCCTCATTCATTTTTATGAATAAAAACTATCATGACATTCCAACACACCGCTCTCATTATCAGAGCCTTGGCATTAGAATACACAAAGTCCTGCCTCAGTTCTAACAGTTCACTCGTACATGAAAAGGGAATGTAGATCAACAAAACAAACCATCCATAAAACACCAAAAACACTCGAACACTACAACAATAAAACTATCACTTCTCTCACCATTTCCCAGTTAAAACTACAGCAACAACTTCACACCTAAATCCTGGCTTTGAACCAATCATTGTAGTCAATCATCAACACCAAAGCAAGTACACAACATTAATCAACCCAATCACACTTCAGCAGAATAACTTCAATCCAACAAACGCAATAACAAAATTACCCGAAGCGACCAGTCTTCCCAGCTTGTCCGTGCTTGCTGCTTCCACCAATCTTGGAGATGCTGACGAAATCGTCTTCGGTAAAGACGGCGTCGTTGTAGGCTAACAGCGCCGGGCCCTGCCACTGCGCGAGGGAGTTCGAGAGCAGCGAATCGCAACCGTGGGAGCGGCGATCAAGGCAGAAGGAAACGGTGGTGGCGCCGGCATCGTCGGCGTTCTGTATGAGCTCCTTGAGGACGGTGGTTCCCTCCGGATAGTTCAACAGAACTTCGCGAATGCGGCGCGTGAGGTCTACCGTCTGGCCGAAGTCTTCGAGGAAGATTGATTCCGGCGCCGGCAACGCCATTTTTCCGGCCAATGGAAGGGGATTGGGAACTTTCTACGTTCTTTGATTGTGCATGAGATACGATGCTGTTGGGATGGGTTTTGATTTCGATTCGATTTTGTGGAGAGGAGAAAGAGAAAGACGGTATTTGATTGTGTCTTTTTTGTGTCTCCTTTACACAAGAATTCTTCAACGTAATGTTAACGTGGAGTCTGCGTGTTATAACATTTTCAATTTTGTGACTGATCTATCCTTGTAAGGGGATTTTTTATTTTTTCTTTAAATTTTGGAAATCAAAGTAAATTAACATTGGTCTATCTCAACAAAATATATATATATATATTGACTGGTCAATATTACAATAATTATTATTATTTTAATTAGTTTGAAATAATACATGATAAAATTATTAATTTAATAAAAGTTTGTTGAATCATTATTAAGAATAAATAAAATAAAAAAGTTAAACAAAAATAAAATAAAACATAAACTTAATAAATTTTGATCAAATCTCGATAAGCATCTCATAATTTGCTGGATATTATTTTTTTTAGTAATTTCGATGATAAGAAATAAAAATAAATAAAATAAATAAATTAATAAATTTTTAATAACTTATTATAAATTTATTTAATTGCATGACAAAATAAATAAAATAAAGTTAAGTTTAACGTATTCAATTATTGGTATATATTAGATAAGTCTTTAAAAATTAATTATATTATCCTACTTTATCTTATAGAATATAATATATGTAGATGATAAATTTATTTATTTATTTTAATTTTATATAGGTCCAATTTAGATAAATTTTTTAATTATAAGAGTCAAATATTAACTATAAAATGAATCGAAATTAATTAATATTTTTTTATTTTTTTAAAATTATTTAATTTATCTAAAATTTGACCAACTTCATCTTTAATCAAACAATGTTTGTCTTTAAAAGTAACTTTAAATTCTCCTTTTTCAATCAGTTGACCAACACTTAATAAATTTTGATCAATTTTAAGAACTAAAAGAACATTATGAATTAATTTTGTGCCTTAATAGCTTACTATTACAATTGTTTCCTTTCTCTTGGCTGAGATGAAATCACCATTACCTATTTTGACTTTGGTGATGTTAGTGAACATCAAATCTCTAAAGAGTTTTTTTGTTATTGGTCATGTGGTTATTGTAACCACTATCAATTAGCCAACCTTCTTTTAATTTAAAGTCTGAGAAGCAAGTAGCAACAAATAAATGATCTTCCTCTTGATCCACAATCTTAATCTCTTTATCTTGGTATTGTCTTATTTGGTTGCATTTATTGCATTGTGCATTAGGCCTCCTCCAACATTTGAAAGGAAGATGACCAATTTTTTCATAATGATGACATGGAGGATTGTTGTTAGCAATCTAAACACTAGCAAGTGCACTAGTATTACAGCAAGTAATGAGTAATTTTTAAGAACAGGATATCGTCTCCACAGGAAATTTAGATTTCAAGTATCAATTCACAAAATTGTAACCATTTGAGCCATACGAATTTGGGAGAAGAATTGTAACATACAAAAGCAATAAACCAAAGCAATTAAGAGTAAAGAAGAATGTGCAGAAAAACAGATCAATGAATGCAATGTGAGATTAGAAATGGATTGAAAGGTAGTTAGGAATTTACTTTACAAGAATGTCAATATTAATTCAATTATGCTTCTGAAAATTCAAGAACTTGGTTAATTGACAATCAGTTTCGCATATTAATAGCCAAAGGTTAATCCCTTAACTCATTGACCCTAACAAGCAACTAAACCACCATAATCCCTTAGGTGAAGTTCAATTTCAAGTTGCATTAAGACTTAGAACCTTAAGATTGCAGAATTAAGTCTCCTTATCCCTAAGAAATCCCCAAATTCTGATTGCTAACTCAGATCGGAGAATCATATCCAACTTTCATTGGTAATTGTTCCTCTTTGATGAATCATACGAATTTCCATTCATAGATTGCAAGAAAAGCAGAATTCACAATTCAATTAATCTAAGAACCCAAAATTCAGAAGTAAGAGTCAAATCAATACATCAATTCGAGTTCCATAAACCCCTAACTACAAGAAAACTACTCAAACATGGGAGAAGAGAAAGAAGAAGAAGAAAAAGAAAAAGAAAAACTCCAAGAAGCCATAGCCGGAAGCTCCAATCTGATTCCTCTTTTTGGAAGCTTCAAGACTTGACCCCAATCTTCTCTCTCAAGCTCTCTCAACGAGATCTAACAGAAAAACAGAAAAAAAAAATGAACTCCAAAAAATCTGCACGTTTCTGTTATTTATAGAATTTTCCAGATTTGCGCGTTATCACTTTTATGAGAAATAGTAGCCAGGCAGAAGGTTTATGGTTGCGCGTTAACACTTTTATGAGAAAAAGTGACCACGCGCAACTTTCCTGATATTGAAGGCTCTCTAGAACTATCACTCTTGCTGATAAAAGTGATTACGCAGAGCTCAAGTGGTTGCGCGTGATCACTCTTATGAATAAAAGTGATTACGCACAACTCACCAGGTTGAAGGCTCTCTGGAACGTTCACTTTTGCTGATAATAGTGATCACGCAAAGCTTTTCCTGATATTTGCCTCTCTGGAACGCTCACTTTTACTGATAAAAGTGATAACGCCCAACATGTTAAGTCTGAGACTTCACAGGATCTCTCACTTTTCCTAGCAGAAGTGATAACGCCCAAGTTTTCTTCTTCTTTGAACTCTGGAATGATCACTTTTACTGACAATAGTGATCACGCCCAGTCTGCACTTTCTTGGTCTTGTGTTTTTGGAGTCTAGACTTGCTTCTTTCTTCTTCCTTATCTTCAAGCCTCCATTTCCATGATCCTTGCTCAATTTATTCCTTCAAAAACAAGATTAAAAACTTAATTTCTAAGCAAAATTTCTACAATTGCTAAAATAACTACATATGTAAACAAACTTCAATTCCTTCTCTTTTTTTTGAGTTTTTCTACTTTCTTCATATATTTTTCTTATTAATTGTGTTAGAATTATGCTAAAATATCAGTAAAAATATAGATTCATCAAGGATAAGATTTTTTCTTGTCGTATCTTGCATTTTCATGATGTGTGGCATGTAAGGCTCCCACAATAGCACCTTATTGTCTTATTGCATGCCTTTGCTCTTATGCTTATAAGGCATTTAAAAGTTTCACTGTTGTGATTTTAGACAACTACTTGATATTCTCTAAGGTGGTGATTGTAGCCTCAAATCTTTTGAGCGCCGTCACAAGAATTGTTTCTACAATTCTAGAATTGGAAACACAGTAACTAGTAATCTTACCTTGTTAGCTATGTCAAGCAACTTGTTTGAGTATATTTTGATTGTCTTAAACTCTTTCGTTCTTTCACTACTAGAAACATGCTTAATACAGACAGATTTTTCATGTCTGTAATACTAATGAAAAATATTTTTTTTTTATTTGTAAAAATTTGTCTATAAATCCATTTGTATTACATACAAAAAAAAATTTGTTTGTTATTTTCTTCTGTGATTGGCTCACCATTTGGCGTGAAATATTACAAACAAAAATTTTCGTCTATAATTTGAAAATGAAGTGGGAATTTTTTAGCAAAAACTTGGAAAACTTTTACTGACTTTTTATGTAGCTCGTTATAGGCGGATTTTTCTGTCTGTAACAACCTTCAGTGGATTTACAAACAGAAATTTAGAAAAATTTTATTGACTTTTCATATAGCTCGTTACAAATAGATTTTTCTGTCTATAACTACCTTTGGTGGATTTACAAATAGATTTTTCATCTCTAAGTGAACATGCAAAACGTTCTTTTTCATTAAACCATGTACAGACGAAAAAAATTCGCCTATAATATGTGAAACACATCAAAATCGTGCCTCCTCCTTTTTCCTCACTTTTCACTATTTCTTCTCTCTCTCTCTCATCTCCCTCTTTGTCTCTCTCTAGCATCTTCAGTTTTTTGGCTTTTGCGAGTGGTTGGAGCATCCATTTGAAAAGTAATTTACATCATTATATTCCTGGTACGATACTTTAACTTTTAATCGGTTTAGTTTTTTTAATTTTAGATGTATAATAGAGACTTATAATTTCTAAGATAAAGTTGTAGGACTATAGATTGTATAACTGGGAGGTATAGAGGCCCTTCCCTGAACTTGATTATTGTTTGTTGTGAAATTGTTTTTGCTTGCGGAGATTATAGAATTTGCATGTTGTGGAGTTACAAAGAGATGCGCTCTATAACGATTTAGGATTGTGATTTGTATGTTTTTTATGCTTTGATTAATATATTTTTATATAATATATATATTATGTGTGAAGGAAATTTAGAGGGGTTAACATACATAAGGAGATGTTCATGTATTAGGAGAGATTCTGCCAAAATTTATATTAGAATTTTGTGTAATGTAAAATAAAAGGTTGATACAGTATTGTTTGCTTGTATTAAGTTTATATAGTTCTTGATCCAGATGTTTCTTGGAAATCATTTATGGATGTATGATAGGTTACACCCAGGTCGGGAGGAATAAAACCTGAATTCTATAAAGGTGTTGAGGAATTCATACATGTTTATTGTAATTCGTAGCAATTCATTACTGACTAGAAAGTTAGGTGTCCCTGTTCTAAGTTCAAGTGTAGAAATTTTTTGGATATCGATTCAATTAGGTACGATCTGTATAATTTTAGATTTAAACATGATTATTAGATATAGACTGAACATAGGGAAGTAGTTAATATAGAAAATCAATTAGGCAATTCAAGTATTCACCAATCAAGTGAGGATGTAGGTAATGTGAGTTGGGAAGAAAGCAATAGTTGTTATCAGGAAATGGTTTATGATGTTGTTGTGATTTTAAAGCTAAACAAGAACCTAATAGAGAGGCTGCAAGGTTTTATAGTCTTTTAGAGGCAGCAAACAAGCCTTTATGAGATGGGTGTGTGCGTTCAGAGTTATCTTTAGCAGTAAGAATGTTAACCATAAAGTTAAAAAACAATCAAAGTCAGAGTTCATTTGATGAAAAGACTATATTAATTAGTGAACTTAGTCCCTAACCTAACTATCCCCAAAATACTTTTTACCAAGCAAAAAAATTAGTTTCTAAACTTGGTTTAAAAGAAGTCAAAATTGATTGTTGTTTGAAAGACTGCATGCTTTATTACAAAGACAATGTTGTTTTGACCAATTGTAAATTATGTGGAGAAACTAGGTTTAAACCAAGAAGAAATGGTAGAAGTGATAAGCATAAAGATGTACCATAAATTAGAATGCATTATTTGCCTTTAATCTCTAGGCTCAAAAGGTTGTATGTGTCTATTAGCTCAACTCCTCACATGACGTGGCGTGCTAGGAATAAGAAGAGTGATGGGATAATCACTCATCTATCTCATGGTGAGGCTTGGCAACATTTTGATCAAGTTACGCGCATAACCTTTCTCCCCTAAAGCCTTCAGAGTGGCTACTTTTACCATGAAAAGTAGTTATGCTCACCATGTTCTTACTTATTAACCTTTGGAGTTCTCACTTTTTGTGCTAAAAGTGCCTACACTCTATAACACTTTCTTTTCATTTACTATTTGATAAATTGTTTTATATTAGGTAATTTTGGAATGTTTTAATTTTATTTAATGAGTGTTTAATAGAGGTCTGGTGTAGGGGGTCTCGCTCAGGCGAGACGGAGTGTACAGAATCACATGATTCAAGAGCAATTTCACTCAGGTAGGTAAGATAGGATAAACTTAGCCCAACTATCCTCTCACTCAAGCAAGCAAAGATCTTGTGCAGGCGAGATGAGTTGCTCAAGCGAGGACTCACAGAAAAAATGACTAACTCTCTAGACCCCTTCTCGCTCAAGTGAGAATGAGCCTCACTCAGGCGAGAATATCAGAAAACTGAGAAAAACTCTTCTGTCTAATTTTCTTGCCCAGGCAAGAATGGCCTCGCTTAAGCAAGAGTGCATGAGCTAAAAGGTATTTAAGGAATTTCTAGCATGAAAATTTTCATTTTCATTTCAAGTTTTGTTTCCTTTGAATTTTCTCTAAACTTTTACTTCCTTTTCAAACCTTGAACGTTCCTTGAATACGAACTCAGACGTCCAATCCATTTGACTCCAATTAAGTTCCTTGGAGCTCAACTCTTCAAATGTGTTTTGATTTTCTATTTTCTCTCTTCTCAAAGGTGTTCTAGTTTAGAAATATGTAGGAAGATCCTGGTTCTTTGAAAGATATTCTTCATAAATCTCCTTAATAATCTTTATTTCAAAGTAAGGAGGGCTCTATTCTATCCTTATAACATAATGAAATTTTGTACTTATAATAATACTATTTTGGGTTTCTTTTTTGTAAATACCTATCTGGATGATATTCATCGTTGTGTAAAAGTTGATTGTGTATATTTGATCTATTGAGATCAAATATTATTGGGGAACTTGGCATTTCATTTGGGTAGTGTTTGATTGTAATAAAAAAGTTAATGATGAATGTTCAGCTAATTTGGTGTGGTATTGTATTCTGGAAACATGTTGTGTTATGGCTTAGTCTGGAAGTGTTTTACTAAGCATGATCTTTTAGCAAAACAAGGATATTGATAAGATAAGTAATATGGATGAGTATAAAGTGGTGGAAGGAACTAATGTAAATAGTTTTAGAGATGCATTGAGAGTATAGAGTCTAGAGACGATGTGGAAATCTAGAGAAAAACGTAGAGTGATGAATGACATTCGCGTATGTGTATACACTCTTTCTGAGCACGAATGTGTTACATGGCCTGACACTCATTTCCTGACTAGACTTATTACTATACCTTTACTAACGAGCCCATTATTGTATATGATGCATCTGTGTGCATGGGCTAATCAATGATTATTTACCTAGCTATGTAAGACCTTTAAGAAGTGTTAGAGGTATCGTATATCTGTGATCACAGTGTATTATGAGTGCATATTTGAAATAGAAAAATATAATGTCTTGTGATAAAATCTATGTAGATATGATTATGTGAGAATCACTAATATACTATTTTTGTGATTGATATTATTAAGTTTTCTTTTATTCTATGATTATAATTATATTGTGATGTTAGTCATTGAGATTAAGTTATGTTCAATGATAAGTAGATGTCCATCCTTACTAAATGTTTCAGGGAATAAGGATGACGGCACCACAAAGGTAGATTAGATTAGTAGACTATCTTGTACAATGAAGGATACACCATGTGTTTAATGAATATCAACGATTTTGCTATTTTAAGTTTGTTGTAGACTATGATAATGTATCTAGCCATGTTTATACTTTGGAAATAGACTTGGATTATAGTGTTTGCTAAGATTTTCTTGTAAACAACACTATGTGTTTATATTTATAGAGGAACAGTTAGGATCTAGCAGTTGTGAACTATCTATATACTTTCCTTGATCATGATCTCCTTGGAAGACTAACCTAGTTATCTGTTGCGCGAGTAATAGGTGTTAAGGTTGAAGTTGACTCTAGAGATCTTGGAAAGGATAAATATTTGAACCCAGAAGAGCTGGCGGAGATAGAGGGTTGGCACTATGATGAAGACTAGGACTGAACCTAATAAATCCACATTTTACTATATTTTTAGCCTAGTTTTTGTTAGTAAATAAGGAGTTAAATAGTAAATAAACTTGAAAATATCATAAAAATTGCATTAATATTCATAATTGTGTAAATAGTTTAGAATTTTAGATTTTATTCCAATTCTGGACAATTTTGCTTAAAAAGACTTAATTTTGTGTAAAAGCTTGAGCTAAAGATGTTTGAGTTGAAGATTGAACTCAAGGAAGTAGAGGAATTGAGCTTAAAAGATGAAAAATCAAGTATTATGTGTTAGGCATAGCTACTTTGGGTGCATAGAGTTAATACTTTGCAGAGGAAAATCCATTAAAATCAAAGAGAGTGTCCACTCTAAGTGCTGAGAGTAGTCATGCGTAGAATAGAGTGTCCACTCTAAATGCTGAGAGTAGCCACGCGCAGAATTGAGTGTACACTCTGGTCACTTAAAGTAGCCAAGCACAAGACTTATTTGCATAAAACACATGCACGTGGACACTCTAAGTACTGAGAGTGTTCACACAAAATAATAGAATTTGGGAAACTATTTTTAAGTGTCAACTTTGGACTTTAGAGTTCCCACTTCAGCCTTAGAAGCTTCTGGAAGACTTTCTACGTTATTACTCTCAGTGATTAAAGTGTCAATGTGGAAGGTGGCAGGAAAAATTATAAATAGTTGTTAAGAGTTCAGATTTAAAAGTCTTTGGTCATTTTTTGTTTTCTTTTCATTTCTACACCTTAGGAGAGTTAGAAAGGAAGATTGGGGGTGACATCCAAACTCTGGACCTTGAGGAATCAGGCTAGGGATTGAATTTATAAAGAAATTCTGCAGCTTCTCTTCTTCTACTCTTTCTCTCTCTTTTTCTTTTAGGAACATGTTTTGATTTCTTTTTGTTAGGGATCATAGATCCAAATTTGATATTGTGATGTGATTTTGGATCTGAACCTTGAGGTTTTGATTGAATTGAATATGTGATTCTACTTTTAATGCAGTTGTGAACTAATCCTTCATTCAATTGAACCTAGAGGAATCTTCATCAATGGAAATTGAGTTTATTTCTCATATCTGAATCATATGCCTAAGTTATTGAGATATTAGGAATAAGTATCACAATCTAGTAATCCTATAATTTTCAAAACTTAATGCAATATTAGATTAAATTTTACCTAAGGAATTAGGGAGGTTTAATTAGGTATTAGGATCAATGAGGTAAGGAATTATCCTTTGGTTAAAGAAGTGAAATTGATTATCAATCAACTAGAATTCTTAAGGATCCAGAACATGATTACATTGCAATTGAAAGTCTGGTGAAGTGATTCCTACCTATTTTTCACATAGCATTTTAATACAAAATTCGTATTTCTATTTTGCTGTATTTTTTAGATTTGTGCACTTTATTGCTTTTGTTTTTTAAATGATTCAAAACACTCCAAATTCGTTTGGCTCAACTAGTTATTGATTTGTGAAGTGGTAATTGATAGACCTAATCCTTAAAGACGATACTTGGAACTCACATTGATTTTCAAATTTTATTACTTTTTACAACTACATAAATGTATTTATAAGAAGTCCTAAATGTATTTTAATAACAATTTGTAAATATTAACACTTTGCATATAAATGGAGTTCAATACATATATATATATATATATATATATATATATATATTTCTCTAATGTTTTAGTGTAAATGTGATTAGTAAGGAACAATTTATCTTTTATTATTCTAATACTTCTGTAAAATTTTGTGAATGGTCTTATTTATAAGAAGGTTTTAAATTTTATCATCTCCTTATATTACAAGTTTTGAACGAAATATATTTAATTTCTTCGTCTTGTATAAATTATTATGTAATTTTAGACAGTAAATTAAAGGATGTTACATGCTCCACCTTATTTGTCTTCCAAACCTCTGAAGTATTCACTTTTTGTGTCTAAAGTGACAACGCTCAACCCAACTGACCTCTTAATACCTCTAACTCATGTATTTTTACTTAGAATCTCCTGCAAATTACTAGTTTAACAACAAAAATACATAAGAATTCTATTAAATCCAAACAATTTTAATTACTAAAAATAAAAATTGAATTTATTAAACTATTATATATTTTTGTGTAGTTTTTATCTCCCAAATTACTCTTTTCTATTAAGAAAAATCCTATAAAACTAATTAAAAACTAACAAAATATGGATTTATCACATTTGGTATAGCAAGACCAATTTTTTGGAAGCATTTTTTATGATCCTAACTTGCACTCCCTAACTTTCTATAGTTGTGTGACACAATTTGAATTAATGGGGTGAGTGAAGATGTCATCCGTTTGATATTATTTCTTTTTCCTCTAAGGGATAAGGCGAAATATTGGCTTCAAGCTCAACCACATGGAAGTATAATAACTTGGACAAACTTAGTGAATAAATTTCTGATCAAGTATTTTCTTCCCTCAAAGGCTACTAAGTTGAAAGGAGAAATCACTTCCTTCATGCAACATGATGGTGAGTCTTTCTTTGAAGCGTGGGAAAGATATAAGGAGCTATTGTAATGGTGTTCTCATCACTGCATTGTAGAATGGATGCAACTTGAAACATTTTACAATGGAATGAACATTACCACTAGAACAATGGTGGATGTAGCTGCTGGTGAATCTTTAATACAAAATTATTAAAAGAAGCTTAACAAATAATTTAGATGATGGCAACTAGCATGTATCAAAATTTCAATGAGAGGCATTCTACAAGAAGAGGAGGATTTGAAGCAAAAGTACTTTCCAAAATCATATGCAAAATCAATTACTTTCTGAACAACTTGCATCCTTGACTCAACGAGTTAGTAATTTTCAAGCTGAAGTTGCACAAATGAACCTATTGGTATGTAATTTTTATGGTGGAAATCTTATGACAGCATGTGATATATTTACATTAGAACCTTAGGAGTAGATTTATTACATGGGTAATTTTTAGAGATCACAACTTCTATTTCATTCTGATTTTTGATATCAAGCCAATATAACTCAACCAAATTATCATTGGAATCAATAAAGTCCTACATCAAAGAGTAATAATGCAGCAACACCATTGTCCAATGCTAATTTTCAACCTCCATTATCATATTTTCAAGCATCCTTATCTCAACCTCCAAGAGGGCAACAATTTTTAAAACCTCTGTCTGAGAGGATGAATGAAATGGAGGAAACACTACTACAATTTATGAAAGTTACATGTCAGACTTGTATTTTCGTATGTGTATAAATGTTTATTATATGTTTTTCCTTTTAAATTGTGTTGTAAGTGCTAGAATCATATGAATTTTCATACATTGGAGTATTATTATGAGAGTTGAGCAAGTATTGGTTAAAAGTTGTGTGTTGCAGTGGTGTGTGATTGCCTTGTTTGATATGACTAGTGGTTTTTTTTTCCTAATGTGTGTTTGATGTAAGAGTATATCAAAACCTTTTTGGTATAAAACCCTCATTGTGTTGCCTTTATTCTAAGAGAGATAGTGATGAAAAGAGATTTGTCACGAATCTTCATCAAAATATAAACAGAATTTAATGTAATACTAGGGTGTTAACCTAGGTCGACTCCAACGACAATGGTTGAGAATATGCATCAAACATGTTAAGAACATTAATTACAAAAGCGATTAAAAAGGGAGTTTTGTTTGATTCCAAAATTAATATGAAGGACAAGAAATAGAATTATAATGTTCAATCAATAAAAAGTAGTAATCCCTAGTTTATTCATATGAACTCTATCCTTATTCCTTTCAAGATTTTAATACTCTTTCTCTCCTCCCAGAATTAGGTTAATTTAACAAGCGAAAATCAACCTTATGTTTTCATATGAATTAAGCAACCCAATGAACACTCATTACTTGATTACACAATCTTAGAATTAAACAAGAATTAAGCAATTCAAATTTAGAATTTCATTAAAACGAATTCGGGTTTATTATGCAATGCTCCCCTCATTCAACCTTTAATTCAATTCAAGAGTTTGGGAAGAAGAAATTCATGGAAGAAAAAGAACAATATTAACATTCAAAACCCAGGAATTCAAGAGTCTAAATGAACTCTCTAGGGATTACAAAAGAGTTTAGTCCTCCATGAAGATGGGTCTTATAATTATCAAATGAAAATAAAGAGAAGGAAATGACATTAATGTAGAAATTAAAGAAGAATTAACAAGAAAATAGAAATCAAACCCTAGATTCGGTCCTTGGCTGTCACTTAAGGATGAGCTAGTCTCTGCAAACGTTCCTAAATTGATAAGAAATCTTAAAGTGTGTAAAAGCTCTTAACCTAATTCCCAAAAATCTATATATACTAAGTCTGACGCCACTTCATAGTGATCACTCTTGTAAACAAGAGTGAACACGCGCAACATTCCTTAGGTTTCTCCCTTTTTGTAGTGATCACTCCTGTGTATAATAGTAGTTACTTTGGGCGCGCGTAGTTACTCTCACTTATGAGAGTGAACACGTGCATAGTGTTCTAGTTCAGTCTTCACTGGAGTGATCACTTTCACTTCTGAAAGTGGTTACACACAAAGTTCTTCATCCTGAGGCTTTATGGAGTGATCACTATCACTCACGAGAGTGATTATGCGCAGGCACTATGGTTCTCTTTAGCTCTGGAGTGATCACTGCTACTTCTAAAAGTGGTTACTCTGGCCTATTCTTTGGAATCAGCTCCCTGAAGTGATTACTATGGAACCTGAGAGTGATTACTCTCAGTTTATATTTTCCCAAAGGATTAAAAATCCATGGAATTTGTCTAGAATCTCCTGCACAATTATTCAAATGCTCAGAATTGTGAAATATATTCGCAAAAATTAGTGTAAATAATATAAAAATTAAGAAAGCTAATATTTGACCTAAATGAGATTTTTATACTATTTACAATCTCTAAGTCTATTTTTCCTATTAAAACTCTATAAAAAGCTAGACAAAATATCTATAAATTGTGGATTCATCACAACCCCAAACTTAACTTTTGCTTGTGCTCAAGCAAATCAAAACTCAAGAAAATTGAATGTAAAGGGTTGGATTTATCCAAAAAAAATTTCTCAAAGATTTTCATTCCAATCTTAGACTCCAATTGGCACTTCCAATATTTCCAAAATCATGGATTCATTCAACAAAGCAATCACACTCATATCAATTATTTTCATGCAAAGTCTCACTAAACTGAAACAAAAATCCAGCAATGTTTCATGCAATCCACACAATGCAAAGAAATGATCTAACTCATAGTATAGTGTTTCACTCTTCACTCATTAATGTTTCAGGCCAAGTGTTTCTCTCAATGTATACATTTTGCCTCACCCTACCATATGCTTGCCCATATTCTCAATCTCCTTTGCCTAGATACAATGAACCACCTATCATAAGGGCTTTGTTAGATTAGGTTCAATTTTGATCAAGAAAGAACAAAAGCTCAAGTGGGTTTTTAAGAGGAGGGAATTCCTTTGAGTGAATGAGTACAACAACTAGAATGGAATGCATTAAATGATGCAATTTATGAGGTTCAAACATTCTTTCACCATGTTTTTCATTATTTTATCTTATGTGGGAATTCTTATTCTATCAAATTGACTTGTTGTATTTTCTTTTTCTTTTTCTTTCATTCATCATTATTTTTTCTGACTTATTGGACTTTGGTAATCATTCTTTTCTTCAAATTCAAGCATTCTTTTTTTTTAAATGTAATATTGACATGTGTGATGCTTATCACCCCCAAACTTAAGAGTTTGCTTGTCCTCAAGCAATTACAATGATAATTGACACCCCAAACTTAGTTTCTTGCATTCACTCTTGAGGCGACTCAAAAGAAATACCTCTCTGAAGGTAAGGAAATTAGTTGTGCAAACAAAGTTTGGCAAAAGGGGTAAATGTGAAAACAAGAAAATTAGGTGCAAGGGTATTCTAGGGTGGGTGGGTGTGTGCAAAGAAGGCCTCAATCATCTAGATGAAAAATTGCACAATGCATATTCAATTAAGAAATAGGGCAAGTTCTAGAGGATAGATGCAAGATTGGGTTCGTGCTGATTTAAGTGTTCTGAAGCGATCTCGCTCAAGCGAGATCAGATAAGAGCCTCCAATTGTTCTCTCGCCTAAGCGAGAAGGAATCTCACTTAGGTGAGAAGCGACCTCGCTCAAGCGAGACAAGCTTACTTAGGTGAGAAGTCGCATAAAAAATGGAGAGCTCTCTGGACCATTCTCGCCTAGGCAAGAATGCAGCTCGCTTAAGTGAGAATAGCAAAAATTTGGGTAGTTCCACTTTCTAGTTTTCTCGCTCAAGTGAGAATGAGTTTGCCCGGGCGAGACCAGGGCTCGCTTAAGCGATAGTTTGCTCGTTCAAGTAAGAGCACACAAAAAACCTTCATTTTCCCAAACAATCTTTGTCTCTGTTCTCTGACCTTTTTCTCTAAGATAAAACCTTTCTAAAGCCAAACTTCTTCCTAATCCAAGTGGGAACATCTACTTGGTGCGGATTTAGGTGAGTTCTTGGGACTTGGTTCTCGTTCTCATATTCTACTCTTGTTTCTTCGTTTTTCTTCTTAAAAGTTTCTTATTTTGTCATAATAAGGAGATATGAGATCCTTGAACTTTGTTTCTTTCGTTGGGACTTACGAGGATTTCAAACTAAGAAAACTCATTCCAGATAACGGGAGCTTACCCTAGAAGGTTTTTATTACTCACTTGGGTGTTGTGATATTGTACTTGATCTTATGTTAGCTAGGAACGGGTTGATATACTGGCAAACCTTAGGGTAGAACACATCATACATGTGATGGGCTTCTGTGTTGTTCTGTAGACGGTATGAAATTATCCATGCTTGAGATGAATTTTTGGAATGCTATGGTAGAACATAACATGCTGAGAAGCTGTGATATGTGTACTGAGAATGTTTAATATATGCTGAAATACTTTATTAATGTTGTGAGTTACTTGGTTTTATTGTGAGAATATATATATATATATATATATATATATATATATATATGTATATATATAGCTGTGCTGCATTATGTTAATTTGCATCATTCTAGAGGTAAGTTACATGTTTAGGTGGTTAGACATGTAATGATAAAAAAATGTTGAGTTGTGCTTTGTCTAGATCTAGATACTGGGATGGGTCACTCCCAGACCGGAAACAATTCCTTCTAGAATACTTGAGTTGTAAAATTAGTTGGAACTGAATTGTTGCATTTGCATTAGATGGGTTTAGAATGGGTTGAACATGCTGCATCAATTGGATGAGATTGTTGTGTTGCTTGCTGAGAATTATGAAAGTTGTATAAACATTTTTTTTAATATATTTTCATACTCTATGATTATGACTGTTGATTATATAAGCTCACCCTTACATTTTGTCTATGTTGTTGTGTGTATTGCAATGATCATACGATGGTACATGAGTAGATGTGACAAGTGATGCATCTACTTCTCATGGTAGAAGGTGTGGTTGAGGAATGTTGGAGTCATCATGGTTTTTGAAAGAATTATAGCTTTATTCACTTTGTTAGTCTAGATCTTAGTGGTGGATCTAGGCTATTTAG